TGGAGGCCAAGGCAAAAGTGCATCATCTGCAAGCCTTACTGCTGGGGATGCTGGTGGGGCCCTTGCATGCCATGATCAACAGCACTGGTAGGTATCTGGAAATTCCAGAAGTATATTTTTATGTTACTTACAGTAATAAAAAGTTTTAAAAAAATTCTTGGGTTATCTACCCCTGTCAGTTATATGAGAACTTAGGCATGGAGGCACCAATATATCATTCATTCATTGGTAAATATTTTTGAGCACTTCCGTGTGACTTCAAGGACACGCAGTGAAGATGTACAGATACTGCTTAGTCCCACGTACTCTGTGGCACCTGAGAGCTTTAACCTGTGAAGTGTGACTGATGTTAGTTGCCTTTTGTATTCCGTGTTTTCTATCTCTGTCTCTATTATTGATATAGCTGCAGCAGCATCACTAGAAACACTTAAAACATTGGTGAAATTTTTAAAACATTGGTGAAACATTTCACATTGGTGAAATTTTGAATACCTCAACTAAAATAAGCATGCATGCTTGTGCTGTTTCTCGCTTTCCTTTTTCTCCACTGTAAGTTTTGGTTAGCATGTACCGTACTTTGCCATGTATAATGTGCACTTTCTTGCCCAAATTTTTGAGGGGGGAAATAAGGATGAGTATTATACATGGGAGTAGTAATCCCATGTATGACACACACAAAAACATGGGTGTGCCAAAAATGTGGGCCAAATGCGGTAAGTAGTGATGGTAGAAGCAACTTCTTTTCTGTTGGAGAAATATACTTTGAGGCAATTTCATCTGAATTTAAGTATATTGGAGAAATATACTGAATTTAAGTATATCAGGTAAAATAAATGTCGGTGCACTGGAGCACTTCAATTCCCTAATGGAAATAATCTCTCTTTAAAAATAGAATGCTGTAACGCTCTGTGTAAACGTGTGTGAGTTAACGCCCTTTAGAACAGCGCTGTCTGATGGCTACTACTGCATTTCAGGTGCTCAGCGGCCATATGTGGCTACAGGACAGCACATTTCCATCACTGCAGAAAGTTCTACTGGCTACTGCTACTCTGAAGTTTCCTTTTTAAAATAAGTTAAATAAAATATTGAACCTGCATAGACTCCAAGAAACTCCAAGTGTGAGTAGCTGTCAGAAGGGACTGTTGTTATTTGACAGCCAACTTAAGGCAGAACAAATAAGGCCCACTAATGGTTAAGATGTGTAGAGTGCTTCCTCTCATTGGATAATAAATGCAATTTATGAAAATTCTCAGAGCACAAGCCTATTAAGTTTTTACCTGAGTCCGACAGAAGGGGCACGTCAAGGGTCTGTTTCTTTTCTTTTAGGAATTGTGGACCTGGCACCCAGGCAGGCTCAGTGCCTTGCTGCTCGCTAATTGGTAAAAGGTGGGCCTCTTTTTTATTACCTTCAGGTTGGTCTGGATGTCACTTTGCGCACTCCTGCTCAAACAAACCTGCAGAGGCTCACAGGTCAACACACACAGCACTCTTCGTTTCCCCAGGTTGTTGCTCCTTTCCCCTCATCCCCTCTGTGAAGGAGTGGTGATCTGCCACATTCTCTGACTCATACTTTTGTTTTCCTCCATAAAACAGAAGTTAAAATGTGCTTTCAACACATGGCTGTTTCTTTAAGTGCATTATTAGCACGGAGGTCTCCAGGAAAGGAAGTTTGGTGGAAGAGAACAATGAAGGGAATGATATTTAATAGCAATTTATATTTTGCAGAGACAGATTTAGGGTTTGGCGAGTTTGATGCAGACATGTTTAAGGTTAGATGGTACACCAGTGAAAGAGATTAAAGGGAAAATAATTTAGTGTTAAATAAAGATAGACTGTCATTATAAAGGCATTTCAGTATATTATTTCAATTTATACAGCAAGGCTTTTACATTGGCATTAAGATAGTAAGGGGCCAGGAAAGAAAAGCATTTTGATTACTTAAACCAATTTTTTCTTTATGAAGTTTTATGTATGGAGAAAATTACAAGTTGATACAGTGTTTTGGGAACTACTGCCCTTGGTTTCTTTGTCTAGAAAAGGAAGATCTGCGGGAGGATGGTGCTAAGAGGCTGTGTGAGGAGTTCCAAAGAGTGAAGGAGCAGACACGGCTGGGCACGAGACTGGACTTAGACACAGCTCACATCTTCTGTCAGTGGCAGTGCTGTCTGCAGATGGGGGTGTACCTCAATCAGCTGCTGTCCACTCCGCTCCCAGAGCCAGACCTAACTCGGTAAGCACCGCGGGAAACTAGTTCAGAGGGCTGCACACAGAAGCAAACACTTTTATTCATATTTAAAGCAAAGAAGTTATTTTTACAAATTAATCTTAGCATAATTGGTCTTGGAACACTATTCTAGCTAAAGAGCTAGAAACAGGAAAAATATTAAATTATTTCCATATTCCCAAAGAGAATGTCCATGATTAGATCAATTAGTTCCAAAGTAAAACAGAGGCAGGTGTTGGTAGGATATAAATTGTTGCCTCATTTAAGTCTGTTCAAATATCACTTTTTAGCTTTTTCTGGTCAGCTTACTAAAATATTACTCTCTACTTCCAGTCACTCTAGCCCTGTTCTCTTTTGTATTTCATAATCGCATTTCTTACCACTTGGCGTATTGTTCGCTCAGTCATTCAAATACTAAATACCTACTCAGGTCTATGGTGTAACGAACAAAACATCGAAAAAGATTTCTGCTGTCATAGAGGTTTTTCTAGTGAGATGACTACGAGATGCTTACATGAATTTTAAGGTTTTTGTTTTGCAGACACGTATGAAAGGAGAGGCAGCCTGTATGCTGGGAAGCGATTATAATGATTATGGAGTTGAAGTTGGAGAGGAAATGATAGCAGTAGTGTGCAGGCCAGTGAAGTGGTGGTGGGATCAGTGAATTGGACGTCCCAGTGACTGAAGAAGGTAAAAGGGAGATAGTTTTGGAAATGGAGTTGAGATTGTATGTATGCTTTGTCTCTCTCCACGTGAATGTAAACGCTATGAGGGCAGGGCCTCGTCTATTTTATGTGCTGTTGTAGCCCCAGTGCCTAGCATATCATAAGTATGCAAATATTTGTTGAATAAATGATAGATGGAGGCATGCAAAATATGCTGGAGTGGCTTTAAATGTTTCAAGGTGAAAAGCTTCCTAGCAGTTGTGTTGTTACTGTGTCTCTGGGCCTTCATATGGGACCTAACCCTAGAACCCTTCACCAAGTTAAGATTAATTGGCCTTAGGTCTATGGATACTTTATTTCCAGCCTTTAATAACTTAGGTCATTCTTGAGTGGATCCTTTCTACATACCAGAAATCCCTTTAAAAATAAAACAGGATATCCATCAGTAGATGAGGATATAAAACTATGGGACATTTACACAATGGAATAATACTATTACTTGGTCATAAAAAAGAAGAAACTTTTATACTTTGTGACAGAGTGAATGGACCTGGAGAATATTATGCTCAGTGAAATACGCAAATCAGAGAAAGTCAAATACCGTATGATTTCACTCATATGTGAAATCTAATGAACATACTGAACTAACAAAATAGAGACAGACTCATAGATAGAGAGCAGGATGACCTCTATGAGGCATGGGGAAGGGTAGAGGGGTGGGGGGACTGAGCAAAAAGGAAGAAGAACTCATGGACAACAGTGAGGTGGTTGAGGGGCAGGAGGGGGCCCTAAAGGGGATAAATGGTAATGGAAAGAATACAATAAAAATTAATTACAAAAAAAAGAACAAAACAGGATAAACAAGGCCAAACATTTCTCCTAATGATTTTAGTAGGACTGTCCTAGTGTCTCAGCACTACTAAGGCTTTTTAAATGATGGTTTTACACTGATCACATGATGGAAGTTCTACATCAGTTGCTAAGGCACCAGCTGATCACCTCTGGCAGCTGAACTACATACTGAATTTGTGGCTTCCAGTTAGTCCCATCTTGTTTGTAAAGTAGATCTTTAGTCCAAAGTGAATGGTAACTTTGCAAATGCCGCCATTAAATTTTCTTATTTCAACAGACTACCTGTTTGATTTATCAGAGGCATTTTCAACTCCCTTTCTTTGAAGTGTTAAGAAGCCTGCTCAAGTTTGGGCTAGTTGTAGAACCAGCAAGCATCCATCATTGAATTTGAGATTAAAAATGTCAACAGGCAAGAAGTAATCTTTTTAGTAACAACTCAGTTCCTTCCTTCAAGGAACAGATTATTCTTAAGTAATTTTAGTGATTGTATAGAAGAACTCTGTGTTTGGATACATTCATTGAAGCCATGCTAATGATGGTTGTCCCAGAGCACTGACACTCTGCTCTAACCCTTCTCTCTCTCTCTCAATCTCATTGAACAGCTTGTATAGTGGAAGCCTGGTGCATGGACTGTGCCGGCAACTGCTAACATCGACCTCTGTAGAAAGTCTCCTGAGCGTGTGTCCTGCAGCAAAGCAACTTTATGAACATCTGTTCAATGCCACAAGGGCATATGCCCCTGCTGAATTATTCCTACCAAAGAGTAAATCTAATTCAAAAAAGAAAAGGCAAAAAAAACAAGGTACCAGCCAATCAAAGAGCAGAGTGGTAACCACCTCAAACAGTAGACATTGGTATGAGGGAAACAATCGCTTTGGAGTATTAATGGTTGAAGACATGGAGGAACATACTGAGGCCTCAAAGCTTGAGTAAACTCGATGTCTGCAAGCAGAAGTATTATGAAATTCTGTCTTAAACATTTTTTGTTACCTGCCTTGAAATCACTTTTTCCTTTGAACTGATCAGTTAGGGGATAAACATTGCAATAGGTAATCTTTGAATTCCAAGGTATTTTGTATCTTGCTTTTAATAAATACAACCTGATTTAAGAAACTTCTGTATTCCTCACATATATTTGAGAGCATATTTGTACTTTGGTTTCATTTCAGTAATAATTGTATTGATAACCTTTAAATTGCAGCAACTCAGCCAGCTGTTTTCAAAAAGAAGCCCTACCTCAATTATTTCCAATAAGCGGAAGCTGGGTTATATTTTTTTTAATGTTTTTACAACTGTTCCCTATTCATGGGCCTTGGAAAACAGAAGTCAGGATGCCACACAGAAAACTATACACCTTTAAATACTTAGTAAAGGAGGCCATAGCAGGTTGATGAGCGCTTTAGATATGTTCCAGGTTTTAAAACAGGTTGAAACCCAAATGGCCCCAACAAAATAAGCAGCAGCATCCTGAGCTGCTAGATCTGGGAGGAAACATTAAGAAGAAATTTAAAAATTAGGCCATTTCTTATACTGCAGGTTTTGACCTATTTATGGGATGTGAAGTAAATGAGCCATAACCAGCATTTTTAATAGAAAATATCAGATATGCATATTATATATTAGATGGTTGTGCAAAACAGATGTCTTACTGTGGACTGCAGTCAAAAGACTTTGAAAGCCACTGCTCTGGAACACAATGGAAGCAGCTACAATTCCAAGCACCAGCAGAAGTGTGAAAGTGCGGGCCTGTTCCAAATAAAGAACTTCAAAATAAAAAAGGGTGGGGCATGAATACATTGGGGCAAGAGTTCAAAGTATACTCTGACCTTAATTTGTATTCATACAAATTGTATTATTCCTTTCTTCTCTGCTCACTGTTATATTCCATGAGTAATAACGCTAAATGTGGTTTGAAGCTGCCATTTTGAATAGGCCCGTATGCAGTCCCCAAAATCTGGTAATTCTCTCCACTTCCCTAGCAGTCCCACACTCACTCTTAGAAGACAGTAAGCCCCGCATCAGCCAGTGTTACACTCAAACCTCTCAAGTGTTAACTGGCTTCAGCCACTTCCAAAAGGCAAAAACACAATCTCATTTGCTCCTAAAGTTTTCAACCTAAAGACTGGCTTCTGTTTCCAATGAGTTCTTGAAATTTACAAAAAAAAAAAGTGTTTATTATGCTAGGAAGAGTGCACAGGGCTCCTTAGTGAGCACGTTTTTAGTGTCTCTGAAGAAATGGTTTTTCCCAGAAGCAAGAAAAGAGCAGTCACATCCATGGACTTTTGAGAAGATAATGTAGGTTGCCAGCAAATAGTGGATATAATATGGACTAGAAGCACATAAGACCTTGTTGTATCAAAAAAACCTTTTCCTTGGTTTCTGGAGTTGGGGGCCAATCAGGAAACTATACTAATACAGGTGTCTTATATCCTGGCTCATCAACACTGCTTTTTAAAACCACCAACCCTGCATGGAAAACCACTCATTCCCACTTCCCCTTTGGTGATATCTGGCTTCACAGGCACTACACTGAAGAGGGTATGGGCAACAGAGTTCAAATCAAAGTCAACTGAATTATATCAATCATCTTTTTCTTTCATTTTTAAAAGTTCTTCTAACAAAAGGACCCTCCTTCAGTAGACTGAGAAGTCAGGCTCCCTTCCATAGTCATTTCAATCACAGCCATTCACTTGAGATTACCTAGCCTTGCAGCAGTTAAAAGTCTAACAATGTCCATTAACTCTTCTGTGAGAATTTAGGAAAGTTACCTACTCTAGTATGCATCTTCTGTATTAATAGAGAACACAGGCACTCCACAAGATATCTGAAGGGGGTTACCAAAGAAACAAGGACAGCACCTGACCCCCAGAAGACATAAGCTGTTTAGAGAGACAACACACAGTGAAATAGGAGGATATTTTACAAAGCAATCTGTCAAATGCAAAATGGCAAAGCGCAGACTGGACCCTACAATGAGACAGCAGTCACCAGATGAGCTTGGCTTTAAGACACAGGATGTAATTCAAATGAGGTACAGGAAGCCAGGGGAGCATCTGTTGAAGCAGAATATTGTATGTCCCATAGTCCATTTCTAAAATGTTTCCTATGTTTTTAATTAAATCTTCAGGACTTGCTCTTTCTTATTGAGTTCTAGGAATGAAATTTCACCTGAGACTTTGGAAATGTGTGTCTTCAGTAAGCAGTGAAGTGACAAAAGGAATTTTGGAGAACTAAAATGGGTAAATTTTAGAAATAAATTTGGAGAGAGAAAAACACTGTAATGCAATCATATTCTGAATTGTCCTAAAATTATACTTGAACTTCATTTTTATACGCCCTTTTAGCGATATCTAGATCTAGGAATTTTTGTATATATATCCTGTAAATGATAACTGGCCCTGAGAAAAAGAATTCAAATTACAGTTTTAGAAGATAAAGACATCTATAGCTAGAAGGATCTTAGAATTATCTTTCCCTCCTTTGTGCATAAAATAAATGAACCCATGATTATGCCTGTTACCCTGTCTGTAAAACAGGATCAGAATGGCTCAAATTATTATCTAGGGATAAAATGACATGCCTTTAAGTACAGTACCTGGTACTGAAAACATGCAACAAATGACAAAACATTCCTGCTACATCCATACACGAAAAACCAAGGGCAAAGCAAGGGAACTAGGAAAAAGGAGTGCTGAGCAGAAACATCAAGGCACCCTGAGATCAGTGAATGCCACAGCCAAGAGCAGAATTTTGCAGGTGCAAAGCAGGTCAACACTATCAACTATGGCTAAAATAAGAAAGATAAGAAAACAAGAATGCTAAAGGAACTTCAGCAGAGGTGTTAGGCTGAAGCCACACTGCAGAGTGGAGAAGTGCCGAAAAAATGAACAGGCAGCTAAGCACAACCTCAGAAAGGGATGGAAAAAAAACAGAAGGAACAATCCCTATGTGAGTTCTTAATGCCCTTCCTGCCCTTTTGTCTTGTTACCAAGGAATTTTCTGTAGTGTTTTTAAACCTAATTTGAAAGAGCCCTGGATGTGTTTAAAGAAAAAATTAAGAGATCTTCCCACTTCCTGGAAATTTCCTCTTCCTGCAACTGCCAGGGTTACATCCTGGCCCTACCCAATAACCTAAGGAAGCCAAACCTAGTTTCCCCCCCTTAGGTTTCCCGAGTTCACTGGGTACCACTCTCCAGCACATGCCATTTAGCTGGCCGGCACAGCATGAACCGGAGTAGCACCTGGAACACAGTCACTCCCACGACCAGTAGGAATAACTTCACTTCTGAAAAAGGACAAACTCTCATTAGTACTTCACTAGTACCTACTCCAAACATAGTGACCTTGGTGCTTTTAGTGAAGTGGTATTTGGGGTTCTTGGTATTTATCTCATAATGTCTTTGTTGACACATTTGAGTCAAGACAAAATGAAAATGATTTTGCACCTTGTACCAATTTGAAATTAAATATTTTTTTGGACAGATGAATTAAGAAGGTGCTTCCCCACTTTTAGCAACCACTGCCTCGGCCATAGCCATACAGGGTAAGTAGCTTTGGCATCTTTCCAGGACTGAATAATGCTAAAATTTAAGCCCACTGGGCTGTAAAAATTTGAAGATAAAAACTTCAGGCTGAAAAAACATGTTTTAAAATTCAAAGGCCTGACTGTACCAGGCAGTATACCATTCCAGGCTATTAAAACAGGAAATATATGAATGTAATTATACGTGGAAAAGTGTTTCCAGTCGTTTCACTAGATTCAGTCTGCAGAAAGAAATCAAATTTCACATGAACATACTGTAATGCGTAAGTTTTTTAAAAGATTTTATTTATTTTTAGAGTAAAGGGGAAGGAGGGGAAAAAAGAGGGAGGGAAACGTCAATCAGCTGCCTCTGGCATGTGCCCCACTGGTAACCAAACCTGCAACCCAGACAAGTGCCCCGACTGGGAACTGGACCGGCAACCCCTCGCTTTGCAAGATGACAACACCCAACCAATTGAGCCACACCAGTCTGGTCTGGGCATAAAACATTTAAATACTGATAACATTTAAAGCTACTGCCATTTTTTGTTCCATCTCTTCCACATCAGCAAAACTTCTCCCTTTGAGGACTTTTTCCATCCAGGGGAAAAAAAGTCGCTCACAGCAAGATCAGATGAATAGGGTAGGTAGGGCATAGAGGTCATGCCATTTTTGGTAAAAAAAACTGCTGAACACTAAGTGCAGTGTAGGCAGGTGCACTTGTAAATCACCCATCATGAAATCACCCAATAGACAAATGCACTGAGACCTCAAAAACAATTCACTCTAGCCAAATGCAGCCTCTCACAAACACACCAGCTGGTAACCCCATGAGTTATACCATACAAGATTATGAAAACTTCCCGGGAGTGTTTTTAGCATTTAGTGCTTTCTGAAGGATTAACTGAGGTGGACAAGTGGCCACCTAGGCATTACTGTCCCTGTCTTCCTCTGTCTGATTCATGTGTGTCACAATCAAGGGCGGTCGGCAGGGATAACTGTGTGTCTGCTCTGCAATGCCTCAATTCTTACTATCATGGATACAGAGTAATCAATTTCATGGTACAGGAGGGGTTATGTGGATTAATCTACTGGCAGCAGGTGAACTTGCTCTGATAACATTTCTTTGAGTAAATACATATTAAAATTATTCTTAACAGGGGAGGGGAGAGTTGTAAATATGCCAGTGAGAACTCCTATGAATTATTGCTAAAACTGCTATACTAATCAGCATTTTCATGCCTTCATTAAGATACTGGCAGGAACCCTCTGTTTTGAAATTTACTATTTGGTTGTCATTCATTTCCATTGGATGCGGTGCAGTTGGAAAGCGAAGAATCGGGGGGTTCTTTTGTGGGTATGTCGAGCCTAGGTTAAAGTCTTTGAGGCTTTGAGATTATGAAATATTTTCCTCTCTCCTCTATTTACAAATGCCTCCAATAAGTATACTGTACTTTTATAGTTAGAAATGGCTGTAACAATTGAAGCCCCTACTGGGAAGGATGGCATCAAGAGAGCAAGCTTCCGATATTCCCTTGTCTAGTCCCAAGAAACTGCAGAAGACGAGAGGTAAAAATGGTGGGTGGGGTCCTTGATGTTAAAATCTGGGAATGGTAACATCTACAAACCCAAGTTTTTAAAGGACTATAGCCCTTCAAGCTCCCAGATTTATGCAGGTTGTTTTTAAAGACAAAGGAATTGATCTATTATAATAACCACAATGCATTTTGTAAAACAGTAAGTCACAAGACAAGTGTGAACTGTAACAGAAATTCACTAAGGAATATTGTCATAACTTTACCTTAGAAATGTAAGAGGCAAATGTGTTTTGGTTTAGAAAGCTCTGTTCCTAGAAAATGAGTTTAGAAACTGTGTTTCACACTAAGAATGGACTGACAGGATATTTTATTTCTACCATTACTAAATTTTGTCTTCCCTGAGCAAGATGTTCTGAGCACAGACTGAGACCCCCCTGACTTTTTGTGCATCAGAGCCTTGTTGGAGACTCAGAGGAATCACTGATACCAAATCTGGTACCCAGTACATCTGCCCCAGGAAGAATATCCTGCTGGGAGACAGGAGGAAATAAAATTGATGCCACCTCTTTTCTGGTCCATGGGATGCAAGGCACAGGCCTATTTTCTTTTCTGAATATGAGTAGACAAGTTTTTCTGTAAAGGGCCAGAAAGTAAATTATTTTAGGCTTATTGGGTCATATGGTCTCTGGTGCAATATCTCAACTGTTTTAACATGAAAGCAGTGATAAGCAGTATGTAAATAAATGTACATAACTGTGTTTCAATAAAACTTTATTTACAAATCTGGCAGCAGAGCTGGCTTGCAGGCCATAGTTTGTTAATCCCAAAACTAAATCAACAGTCCCATGTGGTGAGTTAGGGAGGTACTGAGGTATTCAAGTAAATTGTTTCCCTAACTTGTAACACCTCTTGCTAATTCAGGGGCAATCAGACCTGTTCCATGTAGAAAGATACTTAAAAACTCTAACGCAATCCTATTATGTAAGCATATGGATGAATGTGAGAATGAAACATGGAAACATACTTATTTTTAACTCCCTAAAAATGGTCAAATAACCCTTAAATGTAAAGTTTGTCATATCTTTCCTTATCAAGTACACATTTTCTATTATCACCTATTTGTTTCAGGTCGGCTATATTATTACTCCAAGGATAACATTTTTTAAGATTCATATAGTAAGTTCTCTCATATAATGCTTTTAAGATGCAGACTGGATGAAAAAGAGCAAAATAGTCAAGGCACTACAAGGCATGACCACAGGATGGCACCAAACTGTCACTTCTAAACTGACGTGCACATCAGCATACTTTTTCATTGGGAAAGCCTGAATAGAAAATTGCTTTTAACAGAGCCGAGTGAATTGGTATTTTTTTTTAACTGTTTTTAAAAGCCTGTCTTGTTTTGAGTTCAAAAGCTGGAAATACTCAGAGCTCAAAAATGGACCGGTAGGCTCATGTAGAACAATGTGCCCATTTTCTAGCACCGTGTACTGTTAGTACTGTGAGATGTGGTTTCTACTCAGAGGGTTACAAATAGAACAATGCAATATTGCTGTAGAAACAATGGTGATGGGGCAACCCTGACTTAGATATGAAAAGCTTTCCTGCCAAGTCCTGCCAGGCCCATTAGCAATGGAGCCACCACAGTAATGTGGGTCTTTGCCAGGATATTTGTCAATCTGCCTAGACTTGAGCAACAAGAGACAGGAACAGCAAAGTCAGGTGCATACATACAGTGATCTGCACATGGACATGGCTACCTGGAGTACCTGTGCAAATACAGGGAGCTACATTCACGCATACACAGAAACATTTGCATGATCAGATCAGAAAGGAATTCATGAAGATCAAAACTAAATGGCTCAACACAACATAACATACAGTTGATATATTATAGAAATGTTCACCTGAAACTTGTATAATCTTATTAACCAGTGTCACCCCAATAATTTAATTAAAATTAAAAAATTAGAAAACAACAAACGACAACAAAAACTAATGGTTCAAATAATTTTCACTTTCCTCACCAAATTTCACCACTTAAATTTATTTTGAATGAAAAAAAGATCCAATTTCTATCTAGATTTATCAATGGAGTGGCTTATTAGACTTAAATTTTTAATGCTTTCTAAAAAATAAAATCTGCAATTTTATACCCAGGCTTCTAGCTGCATTTATTCTAAATAGTATTTACAAGAAACTATATACTGTACACACACACACATCCTTACAGCGATCTGGTTAGGCCGCCCTGGTTGCCTCTTCAGCTGGTCTTTGAAAAACAGGTAAAAATTCTGATTCTGAAAATTGAGGCAGAGGAAAAAGGATTTCAAGTTAAAGGAAGAGTTTCCAAAAAGACTAGTAAGTGGACTGTGTTGGCATTTTGTGTGGAATATGAGGCTAAAAAGATCCCAGGAAGAATTATGAGTAAAACAGAAAAAAAAAATCAAGTTTTCTACTGTCCTGCCATAACTTAGTTGTTTGGAGCAAATAACTGTCTTCTAATGTTAATGCTATTCACTTATTGCTAGTTAATGCTAGTCACTTATCCACCGACTGCAAACTTCAGTCCGAGCTATGCAGTTCTTTGCTACATACATTCTCTCGCCTCTTAAGGAAGTGCTTACTGCAAACATCGAAAAGTTGTGTCACCAATCTTTCCAGTGTTCTCTAGTCAGTGAGTGGCCTTAATAACACAGTCTGAGAGCTCTATAACAAAGGAGGCTAAAATGTTCTAACCTATATAACTGCTTGCTGATTCTTAAGTCATAACTCTACAAAGAAACAACTTTCAAAAAGTATCTTATTGTGTCAAAGCTGAGTTTGCATTCACTTATTGCTTTATTTTAACAAAAAAAAAGAGAAAGATGCTTGTAACATGAAATTATTTTCCTACTACATTATAATTAGTCAGCCATGGCTTAATTCATTCTGTTCTAGAAACCTATCTAACATGTCCCTCGGCAAATCTCAAGGACACCACAGAATTCACATTTTCAATTCACCTGTGTCCCACTAAAGGCTGCTAGACTTTGTTAATTCTCCTAACAGCTCTGCTATCCAAGCCAGGGAGCCAGAAACTGGGCTGTCGTCCATCTTTTCCTTTACTGTCTCATCATGACAATGCTATTTCTTAGAAGATAGATATTTATACCTTTCTCTCCACAGTGACTGCCACAGCTCAGTTAGTCCCTCTACCCTTTAAGCTTCTAAATTCTCTAGTCAGTCTCCCTGTTTTGTTCTTGTTTTTTACTATCTAGCCTCTGTGCATCCATCAGCATGTTATAGGACAAAAATCCAAACTCACATCCCACTCTTAACATCCCCTGGCATGCTGCAAGTCAAGTGCCTTTCCCACTAGGCCCCTGTCTATCTGTCCAACCCCTCACATTACAAATTTCCTGCCTTAACAGCCCCAGGCTACTTGTGCTTTTCACCTGGTCCATCCAGCCCTCACCAACACCTCTGCAGAGGCTTTGCCATTTGGTTGCGATGCCCTGCTGCTCCTTGGCTAGAGATTCCCAACTTAAGGCTTGATTGAGATGTCACTAGCTCTGGGAAATTTCTTTGACAACTTCTTCCAGTGAAGTTATTTCTCTCCTTTGGCTACTGTAGCATTTCGGGCAGCATTTAGCAGTGTATTAGATGTGTTTCACTTTGGTCTCCAGGGTTAGATTGAAGACTTCCCAAAGACAAGAAATTACCTCTTAATTCTTTATAAACTAACCCTAGAATATTTGCAGACTATTATATCTACATTAACATTAAGGACTGGTTAATTGGTATCCAATTTTTAACAATAACCAACTCTAAAAACCAAAACTCCAAATGAAGTTGTCCAACAAGAGAGTCAAGGACGCTCAACTGTCAGGATGGTGTGTTTGTTCAGTCATAGACCAGTCAGTCAGAATTAACATTTACACACGGCATGTTTTAGTATGCAAATCAGCTACTGTTCGGATTGCAGCTCCATCTAAAAATGCACTTCAGAGTTCCAAATGCCAATGTCAAGGTAAACTGCCAGTAAAATGTGTGCTGGATTCCCTTTAATGTTACGTGTATTTTTAAAATAAATGTGCACTACCACCATTCATGAAGCAGCCTGGTAACAGTTACGTCCCCTGCCAACCCGGTCTGTGAGCTCCTCGAGGGCAGGGGTGCCATCACCTTCCTATTCCTAGCATATTCCAGCTCCAAAATAAATGACAATCAATTCATCCAATTGAAATGGCATCAATTCATCTAAACTTTTGGGTGAGTCACACGTGGAAGTAAAATATTCATGAACTGCCAAGTGAAAAAGGCAGAAAGTAAGGTAAACTTAATTAAGGTTCTTAGATATTTGTTTGCTACCAATCCATTTCACTGAGAAACTATTGGAAGGATGGCCAACACTCACTCTATTTAAGTACTACAAGAAAGAGATCAAAATTTAAAGGAAGACTACCAATGCAAAAGAAGTATGAATGGTAAAAAAAATAGGCGTTTTATCCTTGTGAGCGTGGTCACAGCTATTACATAAAGCCTGTACTGGGGAGGGGGTGCGGGGCGGTTTTCTTAGGCTGCCTGGTCTCACACTGTTTCCTCTCTGGATTGTGAAGCACTCAGTGCACGTGTGAGGGAACACACTAACCCTTATTTCCTTGCAGCCAGTTTTAATCACCTGTCTACCCAACTGGTGAGTTATTTCAAGTGCCTTTACCTTCCTCATGTTTAATCATTTTGGGGCCAAATAACTTCATGAGGTAGTCTAACAGAAAAAAAAATCAAGTAAGTTAATATTGTTAAGAACTTTAGCAAGTCTCTTAGGGCTAGAAAAGAGGTTGAAAAAATAAAAATTTAAATACTAGAGCATTTAAATTATTCATGCTAATGTGGATAATATACTATTGAAGATAAATACACAAATATTCTGATTTGTTGTTGTACTATGGAAAACTGAAACCTGGATATATGGTCGTCTGTCTGTCCTGTGCATTTCCGTTCTCTAAATCACAGATTCTGTGTACTGAGTACTGCTTAATTCCCATTATGTTCAATGTCGTTATGATTTTAATGTTAACAAATCCTGAATGGAAGGTTGTTACCTTACGAAATCATTTTTTTTTTCTGGTCCAAAAACCAAATGAACAAACAGGCACATTTATTTCATACGAGTCATACTCTGAACCTACAATGCAAAAGTAAAAGACTAACGTGCACTTAATGTGTATTTCAAGTCTTTGTAACAAAAAGAAAAATCATTACAAAATGTAGGAGCACGACATCATGTCACCAGAGATAAAGCTGAGTAGACAACAGCCTCCATGTTCTAGCTAGTGAGATCTGACTACTGAGTCTTTGTTTTCTTTTTGACTGTTGAGTCTTGAAGGGTAAAGTGGAATAAGTTGCAAACATATCATCTCCTTATACTCAACAGTTTCACTAACACAGACTCAAAGTACAGACACTTTCCCTATCACTGATAACATTTCAGTACTAACACTGGCAGTTTAACAGTGATGATAAAAACTACACATTGATTTACCCTGACAGTTTAAAAAATAAAGAATAATTATAAAATACAAAACTAGCTCACTTCAGGAAGAATTAAACATCGAATTTAAGACCCATTTCTGTTTCAAAAAGAAAGTTAACAGGGAAATGGATTTGTAATTTTGAATTTCTGGCCCAAATCTACCATGCCTTCTAAATAAATTACCTATACCTCATCAAATACCATAAAAACTGACAGCAATACAAGAGCGAAGCCTTCTATTTCTCCAGCGTGCCCAGTGAAAAGAGAGAAGGCAAGGAACAAGCAGTGTAAGCAGGAGAAGCGACAGGCTCAGGGTTGGGCTGCAACGTGGGCTGGAGAGGCTGCAGATACATGGAGAGCAAGGCCAGCACAGCATCTTCCACATGTACCCTGGTTCTGACACCACCTGTTGGGTCTTGGGGCTTTTTTACTCTCTAGGCATAGCACTCTATACTTCCTAAAAAATGCTTAAAAAGATATTAAAAATAATAAAATTCAGTTATTCAGGAGAGGAACTTGGATTTATATTTAGGGAATGACAAAATGATATTTGACAAAGTGTATATTTATATTTAACTCTGAAAGAAGGCATAGCATGTTAGTAAAAGTTTTTATAACTTTCAGCCCAGTCTTAAATATTTTTGACTCTCTAAGTGTTACAGACATGACTACCCTAACTAGAAAGCCACTTGACAGCGCTGTATGAATTTTGCTAGACCAAAGACTCAAAGCTGGGGGAGGAAAAAAGCAACCATTTATACTTACTAAGAAAAGCAAACATTTACTTCAAATTGCAGTATAGGCTTTTCAGTCACAAAAAGAAAGAAAAGAACAGTGATTTGACAGTGGTCACATCCTGTGCAAAAAACTTGAGATACAAAAATGGTAACACAAGGTGTATGAGCTGCTTACACTGGAGGAAAAAGGAAATACAGTAGCTGAATATGGCACTCCTGGGAATCAATTTCTAAATCGAATAGAATGCCTTTGAAATAATTAAATTTATTTGTGTATTAGTAAGAAAGCCCCATCACCATAAATAGTACAATATTTAAAAATTAAAAAAAATATTTATATCTATCTAAGATAGACAGTGTATTTATCTGTGTTGTTAGACCTCGTTAAGTGGTTTAGGTTTTGCCTGTTGTTTTTTTTTAATTCAATAAATGCCCCTATGCTTTATAAAGTTCCCCTCAATCTCAAAAGCCAATTTAAATCACGGAATTTGTTATCAAAGTTGCATAATTTCATTTGGGACTGTCAGCACGTTAAAGTCTCCAATCAAGTCTTTAACATTAATGCTCATGTTTAGTCAATGAAAAGTTAAAAAGTTCTCAAATCTTCATTATCTTCTTGAATTTGCCCTTGTAAATGATCCTCAAACTGCAATTCCTAGTTTGCAAATAAAAGAATGCAATATGCATCATACTTCAAGAAAAGACGACGATGTTGAACTAACATGCTTCTGAATCTTTTCCCTGCTCCTTTCGACCTTCTTTATAATTTCTGCCACTATGCACACCGACGAGGTGAGAGCCAAAAGAAACAGCAGATCTGCAAGAGAAAATAAATTGGGTTTTATAATTCTTTGAAACGTACAGCTGCAAAGCTTAATACCTTACATTTTTCTAACATTTTACCTCAGCTTTTAAGAGACACGGTTTTACAACCATTCCATGAGGTAGATAATCAGCCTCAGTATAAAAGGAAGGCAGACTCAGAGTGATGAAGTGACTTATCCAAAGTCACACACCTATGAACAGAACCCAAGTCCTCTGACCACTGTCCCTAAACCACAGACAACCTGGTAACTACAACCTTTAACAGCAATACAAGCAAGAGCTTCCTATTTAACAGATCATACAACCTTTTTAAAAAGGCAGCTGAGGCAGTGGTAATTAATTTGACTGAAAAATGCCTATCTAAACCTCATTTAGATCTCTGCGTCTATTCCGTCTGAAAGCCCAGAAGAACTCATCTTGTCTTCACAACAATGTTCATACTAACTCATTCTTTCCTGCTTGAAAAACTGCAGTTGTCTCCTTAAAACACTTATTTTTTTAAAGAGGAAGAGACGTGAATATGAAATTAAAATATTAAACTAGTTCACTTTTAAGGTAAATTTATAACAAAAAAATCCACTGAGGCTATATAACTCATTTAATAAATATCTAAATTAGCTTTAAAAAAACAAAAGTAGCATTACTATAAAATACACCAGTCCTCACACTTATATAGAAAAATTAATTTTTAAATGTACAATATTATAATATTTAATGCATAATATGTACAAGAATAATGTATATCTTCCACATAATCTTAATAAAATAGTCTGCTTTTAGGATCAAGCTATTATTTGATTAAAATAAGAATTATAAATTAGCAAGTAACAAGAGTGAAATATTAAATTATTGAAATTATAATTTTATAGAAAAGCAATTTGGTTTTTAATGAGCTTAAAACTAGTTTTTTTCTTCACATAAGACTGAAAAGTTATAAACTACCCTAACTTTATAACAAATTTTGATTTGCTATATTTCAAAATAACCAAATATGGTTTTGACAATTAATAACCCATAAAAATCAGAAAAGAAATAATAAACTCAGAGTTAGGAGAGGGACTCCCCTAAACTTCTCCCAGTAAAAAAACAGAGCACACTCCTTTTTCAGATCAAGTCAGTAACTTTTCTTATTTCAGTTTTTAAAAGAAAATTTTTATCAGAACCAACACATTAGAAAATACTTACAATTCATCTAAAATATATAAATTATAAAGAACATTTGCTTTACCCAATATACTTAGGCTCTCAGTCTGAAAAACCTTCTGAAGTGGAGGAAAGTAAATAACTAACAACTGTCCCATGATGGATCCAAGAACTGCGTAGCAAAACATTTTATTACTGCAGAGTCCAATCTCAAACACAGACTTGGTCTGTTGGCAAAGCAGAATTCGATTATTACTCCTTGGTCACAGAAACAACTACTTTATTATTACAGTCACCTCTAATTTTTAATAAGCTGATGGAACTCCACAATGGCAGATGAAATGTCCTAAGCTTTGACATGTTGATGGAAGTAACTAGAAAAGATTAATATACAAAAAAAATTGTTCTTGTACTTCTAATAATAGGAGACTAATACCACCTTAATAGAACCAATGAGGTCTGCCCTATGCTTGGATAATGTTAACCTGAATATATCCAAATTATAAGAGAATCGAATGAATAAAGATCAAGTGATAACACCTGTGATTTACGTTAATTTTCTGGTCAAAGATAAGGCTTATCTTCCCAAATGCCCCATCCCTATTATGACATGTGTTTGTAGGTACTCATCTGTAGGAAAGCTGCACCTGAGGCTGTAATCCATGGCTACAAAATCAAGGAAAGCTAAAAACCCATAATCCTCGCCTGCTTACAATTAGAAAGTGCTCCACCCAAGTGAATCAATCAGCATACCTGGGATCTGGAACTCAGTGCATTGAACATGTCGAAAAACACAAAGCATGTGAAGGTCATTGTTGTATCTCGGGGTGTTATCACATTGTCTCGCAGCTGTCCAGAGGAAAATGATTGTCAGTGGCTGAATTTAATGGACAAATACTACATGCTTTTAAATGGCGAATATTTCCTTTCCATTCAGATAAAATACCTTTAGTATTATGACATAAAAACATAAGTTTCCTAAATTCCCTATATGCCATTTAAATAAGTCTCCTAAGGAATAGCTGCAGTCACCACAAAGTAAAAAGTCTTCTCACCAATTGTATAATGGACATTAAAACAACTTTCACTGTGATGACAATAAAGTAGCTACATTAAAGACTCAGATTTTCTAACATCTCCCCAAATTTTCATATTTTTTATTGTATCTGATAATCTTTGCAGATTTAAATTAGTCTAATAAATGAGTCTGAAATTCCAATAATCCACAAAGACTAAAATCAAACTATGTTTAAATGTTTTTATTATCACCCTGACTGGTGTGGCTCATTGGGCATCACCCCACAAAGCGAAAGATCACCAGTTCAATTTCTGTTTGGGGCACATGCCTGGACTGTGGGCCAAGTCCCTGGTTTGGGGTGAGCGGAAGACAACGGATCAGTGTTTCTCTCCCCCAAATTGATGTTTCTCTCCCTCTCTTTCTCCCTCCCTTCCCTTCACTCTAAAAATAAATAAATAAATCATTTTAAAGAAATAAAAATGTTTTTATTATCAAATTTTTCAAAGAGCTCTCCTAACTTTCCAGTCTTCCATGTAACATACGAAAATAACTGAGTCCTATCATATAAAATACATGTTAATAAAACAACTTATCCAGTGACTATACCTCCCTCCAGAAGACAAACAAAGTCCCGCAAACAATGATTATTGATGAAACAAGTATTTTAAGTATAAGGTTTTTAGTCAAAATGCTGTCCTTCCAGTTCCGTGGAGGTTTACGAATGACATCCTTGTCCACTGGTTCTACTCCAAGGCTTCAAAACAAATAGGAAAGTGAATTACTTTAAAGTGTTAAGGTTTTGGATTTGTTACTTTCAAGTCTGGTTAACCTCAATTATCCAGAAAACTAAATGCTGTCTTATAAAAACAAAGTGTTGAATTGTAAAAGAAACCTTGGCTATGGTCACTCAAAAATAACCACAAATTTTACCACTCTTTCTTCTTTTACCCTTATCTATTTGGCACAGTTTAACAGATTAAGAGTCCAATTTCAAAAAGTTGTCCAACCTCATTTACTTATATGACCTGAAATACACAACCTACCAACTGAACTTTGAAATATCTTTCAGCAAGCAGGTTTCAACTAAGGGGATTTGTTGTAATGGCCACTGACAAGTATTACTCAACTACTCTTTATACTGGGAAGTGGTATCTATGGCCCCATTATTACAAAAGAAAATACGTAGATGCTTAGGTCCTTTGATACTTTCCCTAAGTCTCTAAAACTGGTAGCAAAGTCTAGCTAATAGCACTAAACTCACAGATCTCCCCACTATGTCCCATTATTAGAAACCAAAAGATTACTTCCTTAGGGCAGGGACTGCCCTGATCTGTTCTCAGTGGAAGGCTGGGCACTGAACACAGGGTGAAGGCTCAGATCCACGAGGGACCAGTGAGCACCCAAGAAAATAAATGATATACACACATCACACAATTTACAATGAACATGTTGATACAAAGATTTCTAATGCTACCTATGAATCAAGTCTTAAAACTCAATTATCAGGATATCACACCTTCCTTATCTTTCTAGTTTATGCATCAAAAAACTCTTACCTCTGAGCTGGAGGCCCATCCATGATGATATTGATCCACAAAATCTGCATAGCATTGAGAGGATTGGGAAAGTTCATTAATGTAGCCAATGAGATTAAAGTTAATGCTGCTATACTCCTGTTGAAAAAAGTCATTTAAAAAATGTCAGCTTAGTACAATTCTACTAATTTAAGACATCACTTTTTTAGCATTTAAAAATCTCATGTTACTACCATGATCTTAAAGGAACCCTATATTTCTAAGAACATTTTGAAACCAGGAGCTAACTCTTCCAATCCACAGCATTTTAATAAAGAATCTTCAAGATGTTTACATAACAACAATAAACAGAGGAAGCTTCTTTTAATTGAGTTCAGAGTAGCTGTTGCTACATAACAATGAACAATTTTGACAATATTTTGGTAACTTTTTTTGACTATAGGAAAGCCCTTTTACTTTGGGAAAAATATGCCAAGAGGAAATACTAAGATTTGACACGCCTCAGTTACTTCAGGAGCCATTAAATAAGCCACAAAGGCTTCTATACTTGGATGGTAATACAGACCTAAGATTCGCATTAAGAACCTATTAACCATACCACTGTTAATTTTTTAATTAATTTTCATTTTGGAAAATATATGGAACCCTCAGAGAGTCCAGAAGCTTCTAGGTATTCTACTTGAATTATAATATTCATATAATTTATCTATAAGACTCATGGTGACAAACTTCTTATAGACTTACGTGCTCAGCTGGAATCTAACAAAATTTTTAATGTTATTGTAAATCCCTTTACCCTCTTCAATTGCAGACCTGAAATTTCAAAAAAAAGTGAGAAAATATTATTACACAAAAATAAAGATATCTATACTAAAGCACTAATTCTGAAAATAAATTTCCAATTGATGTAACACATACATGGCTAAAATAATCTATTATTTTCTTCACATAATTAAGATTAGAAAAAATATGGAAACATTATTCCAGCAAGAATTAAAGTAAAGCCTGATAATAAGCCCCACCTCAACTAATTTCACTCTATAATATTAAAATTATTGTTCTTAAAAGGAAATTGCAACATTAAAATCACATATTGTCTTTCTACATAAGACATAATACTACACACTTACAATACTAAAATAATAATCTTCTTTAACCCAAGTTTATTTTCCTTAAATACTCAAGATGTATGCATGGGGGTTAAATTAATGTATGTCAGGAAATAAATGGCAATGAGATATATAAGAATTACAGCATTTAAACTACTTTTGCTCCTATACATAATTAGATAGATGTAGTAAAATCATATTACAAAGATTCATACAAATTATCTCATTCATTTGGTTAAATCTAGGAAAATAGGTGTTTTTAAAACAACTCCCCCTTTCTTCCAGGATTTTTATACAATTCTAAGAACGGAAAGAAAATATCTTACATCCTTACAAGAGCTTAGCAATTCTGAGTCCTGCGTTCCCACATGCTTCACTCCCAGCCACAATGGGTTAAAGAAGCACCGTGGCCATATAAGTAGCATGTGTCACTGAAATGACTAAGACTCAGGTTGGCAGATAGGTGATTATCAAAAAACAGGATTCAGGTGACTCCTACCTGAACACTGTGAAACTGATACCACCATGTAAAACATAAGAATCTTAAATCAATTAGAAACTGTGGCTGAAACAAAGTTACTATAACTTAGTAAGTTGTGTCATTGACAATATGAACAATTACTGACATAAGGAATCAGGTACAGATGAGAACTTGATTCTTTTTAATATTTATTATATGGCCATGCACATGCCTATTTCTGATGGCCTGAATTTAACTTGAATAAAGACCCCATATAAAGGCTCACTGCTGTACCACCACACTTAAGGCCAGAAAAATGTGACTCCTGACTGGCACTCAGTAAATATTTCTTAATGAATGGCCCTGCCATTTATTATGCCCTTTCCATTCCATACAGAGTAATTTTCTCTAAAACAACAGGCTACCCCATGAAACAAGAATAACTGATCTAATAAAATAGTTTAATTCATCCAATGTTTAAATATCGCTTACTCTTTTCCACCCAAATTGCCTGGGGATGAGGTGGAAGAAAGGATGGGAGAACGTCCTCTGATACACAGCGAATACTGAAACAAAACTTACATTATTGTTTGGAAATCATCATCCACCAGGATCATGTCGGCTGCCTCTTTGCAAACATCTGTGCCAGTCTGACCCATTGCGACTCCAATGTCTGCAGCCTTCAGGGCAACTGCATCATTTACTCCATCTCCTGTCATGGCTACGACTGATCCATTCTTCTGTAAAGACTACAGGGGAGGAGGGAGGGCAGGAGTAGGGAGGAATTCTGATGAAAATGTTTCTTCTATGGAGATAAAGTAATAAGCCCTATTTTTTTCACATAATTAAGATTAGAAATGATACAGACAATCAAGTTTTCAATAAATTTCAATATACTGAGGTCTTAGGACAAAGCTTTAAAAAGTATCTTTTAATATTCCCAGTGTTTGAGGACTGTATGTCTCAAATCTAATGTACATCTGGTTATACAGTGCTCCTCAGGGGCAGTCTTGCCTGCTAGGGGACATCTCTCAATGTCTGCAGACCTTTCTGACTGCCATGACTGGAGGGATGCTACTGACACCTAGAGGGTAGAGGTCAGGGAGGTTCCTGAACAATCTACAATACACAGGACAGCCCCTCACGACAAAGAATTATCCAGTCCAAAATGTCAACAGTGCTAAGGTTAAGACACCCTGAACTAATACCACACGAGGCTATGGTGATTAATTTTAGTCCATTAACTAATGGATACTATGTAAGTTGTGTTGTGTGTGTGTATACGTGTCTAATATATAAACATATATACATACTACGGCCTTTTAACTACTGTTTACATTATAACATGTTTTTCTTGATGCATTTGTTCAGTTTCTAAGTAATCACTGCTGCTCACACTGGGACGGTCTAACGACGGACCCTGTCAGAACAGACTTCTACACCGTTCACCTGTTTCCAGTCGTTGGTATTTGCAGGCATCTCATTAAAGTTTTCCTTTACACCTTCCTCACGTGACTGCCCCACAGTACTTCTGACTTTAGTGCTCTATCTAATAGTCCTAGTAAGGCAAACATAATGAAAGACAAGAAGGAGCACTCTGGATATAAAGATTAAACAGTCTGATTCTTAGAGACCCACCTTAATAATTTTCATCTTGTGCCTTGGACTAGCTCTGTAAAATACTGCCACCTGTTAAAATAAGACATCAAAAAATCTTCAACATTAAGAAATATCATAATAACCCATATGCTTATAGCTAACTATCTTTTTAAATTATGATTTTAAACTATATGTCATTTGCCACAGAGAGCAAGCTTAAGCAACATGCCATTTTGTTAAGACACTCATCTGACACAGTTATTTCAAACTTTACCAAAAAAGGTACCACAGGAAATACACACTCCTGAAGAGAAAACAGCCTTACTCTCGAAATGCTGCGGACACAGAGAGAGGGGAAAAACTCTCCTGCATGGGTTTCCTCGCGACACCGGCACACAACTGAAATGGCCACTTGCTTCCCTTTGTTCTGTCTCAGCAGAGAGAAAGAACAGCGGCTTCTCTGTACCTACAAAGCGCCCCCACCTTTTCTTTAAGTGTCAAGTGTCTGCTCATAGTTTTATTTAGGTTAATTCATCAGGATCTCTTCCACTATATCTCCAATTGCTTATATGATCTTCTCTCTCCAAACCATGCATTTGATCCCTTTTTCTGTTTCCATCTCCCGTCTTCTGAAACCTTTTCCCTGTGCCCCAAAGTCAGTTATCAGTAACCAACAAAAATCCCCGATGTCCTCCCTTTTTCCACATTGCGTTAACCTGATTTTTCCACGAAACATGGGCCACCCCTACAGTCCTCTCCAACAGTACAACCAGGAGAGCCTAGAGGGGGACAGGTGCCCACCATTCTCCCTTCTTTATTCATCAAACCTCAGTTCTGAACACCACAGGAGACTACACTTCCCTGTAACTACAAGCACCCACTGCTCCAGAGAGGTCGCTCCCCAGTGTTTCAGAGACCTGAACATCTGCCTTACTATCCCTCTCTCCAACAATACTTCTAAGCCACGGCAATTTTATTAGCCACATAATACACCATTCTCTTTCCTACTCTCCTAGAGGGTTCACCCATACTACTTTTCTCTCCTCGCACTTTCAACTGATCCTTTTCTCCAACCTCACTGTCAGCTGAAAACCTTGTTTCCTATTTCCAAGAAAACAAAATCAGACGAGCACTGTCATAATTCCCACCATGCAGTATCTGTCTCTAGGCACCATCCTTTCTTTCTCTTTTACTAATACCAAGCTGAACACTCACTTAGGTGTTCTGCATATGGTACATAATGTAACAGGTTGCAGTAGGGAGGCCCCTAAATAGGGATTTGTAATGGGGTCCAGAACTCAGGGTGTCTAGGAAATAGTAAAAAATCTATAGGATGGCTTCACCCCAACAAGTCTGAACTTGGGGCTGGGACACATGGAGCAGGGCCATTGAGAATTGTTCGGCTTTGAGAGAAGGGGACCATGCGGCTTTGGAGAGAAGGAGGATCCACGTGGTTTGGGGGCTCCCTTTGCCATGTAGCTTAGGAAGCTGGACAGCAAGATGTAGCAGTGATACAGAGCTCTCTCTTAGCAGTTTGGAAGAATGTAGGAGAGATGCTGCGGGAAGGAAAGGGTGAGAGGACTCTTGCTGGTGGCCATGAGAAGGTGCCAACCCATGACACCTTCCCCCAGTGTTTCGGGTCTCTGAAACACTAGGGAATGTTTCCCCATAACTAGTTGGGGAAACTTAATCCAAAACTAATTGGATTAAGAACTAGAGGTTGTGGTGGTGACACAGCTGATGGTGCTGGGAACCAAGGGAGGCCTGCCAGCTGAGCATGGATTACTGGGAAGAACTGGGGGTTACCTGAGCCACAGATTTTTATTTCTTTTTCTGAGTTATGGTACCCTGGACTGGACAAAGGGGGTAAGGAAGGACTGTGTGTGTTTGTGGGTGTTTTAAGGGACTTTGGGATTTTGATAAAGACATTAAGTCATTACTCTTAAGTCTGTGTAACTTTTGCACAAATAATTCCTTTCCATTTCACCAAACTCTGACATTGAGAGCTATAATTCCCTGGAGGCAGGCAAGGCAACCTAGTAGAGGAGTACCCCGGGAGAAAATGGGGGGTCCATTTGGTATTAGTATATCGTCCCCCCATGAGTCCATTCGGTAACGATAACATTGCACAAAAATTGGCTCTTAAAGCATGAGGATGAACAGGTTACTCCTTTTAGTTGAGTAAAAATATTGAAACTTAACACATAAAATTATGGCCTAAAGAAATTAGATATTAAAAAATGCTAGAAATTAGTAAAAACTAAACTACATCACTATGTCACAGAGCTAGGATTAAACTCGAAGGCAACTGAATTTCATCTATTAATGATCATTTCACACTTATGTCTGTTTCTTTACCCAGAAAAAGGGAATGCACTGGTTAGAGAGAAGCACTGAGAAAAATCACTGTCGTTTGGGAGCACAAGGCAGGAAGATAGTATATGGTAAAAACACAGCGGGAAAGAAGAAGAACTTTGTCAGAAAAGGAGAGAGTTTAGGGAATAACATGGGAGGAAAAGATAAAAATCATTAAAGCAAGGGGGGAAAGGCTATGCATTTTCAGAAGCAACTTGTAAAAGTATTCTCTCTTCTCACTGGCACTTATTTTTCAGTGTTGTATTTGTGGTCAGTACTCAACAGCTCTTTTGATCAACATTAATAGACAAGTTGCACTAGGAAAAGAAAATTTTAAAACAGAAAGTAGGAAAATATTAGACAGCTTAATTTTTAAAACCACTCCCAGCATTAAAATAACCTGCCAAAGGTCCCCAAATCTTCCAAGACCTATAAAAAGTTACCTGATGCATTGAAAAAAAAAATAGGTGACTAAAATAAATATTTATAACCAACCAAAAATTAAACAGCACACAAACTGGGATTATATTACAGGGACTTGGTTAGCAGGTTTGACAGAAATACAAATGCAGGTACTGCTATAAAAAACGAACAAAAAAAAAAAGAGGATGTCCACATTTAATGATGGGAACTGTCAAACAAACTGCAAGAAATCATAAACAGGGGACTTCCGGCTAAGATGGAGGCGTCGGCAGACACACCGTACCTCCTTGCACAACCAAAACTAAGGACAACAAAATTTTAGAAACAAAAAACCAACCAGAACAGAGAGAAATGAACTGAACGGAAGTCTGACAACCATTCATCCAGAATGGTAAGAGGGGTGGAGTTGGAGGCCTATGGAGAGAGGTCGAGGAGTCCCAGCAGGAAAAAGCAGTGGCTGGCAAATGCAGGCACGCAGGGCACAGGCGGCAGTTGATGAACCCCAGATGCCCAGGGGCAGGTGACGGACCTGGTGGCAGACCCTGGGCGTGGGAGGCAACAAGCAGACCACCCAGTGAGGAGCGCAAGGCAGCTGGCTGTCCGCAGTCACAGAGTCACACATTCCTGTGCAGATAAGCTAGGCGAAAACGGGCAGCAACACAGACCGCGCAACCCAGGGACCCAGCACGGGGAAATAAAGCCTAAAAGCACCGATTGAAAACACCTGCGGGGGTTGAGGCCGAGAGAATCTCCCAGCCTCACAGGAGAGCTCCTTGGGGAGACCCACAGAGTCCTAGAAAGTACATAAGCCCACCCACCCAGGAGCCAGCCCCAGAAGGGCCCAATCTGCTTGTGGGAAGTGGCAGAGGGGACTGAAGTCCTGGAGAGAGCAGAGCAAGTGACATTGTTCCCTCTCAGACCCTGCGCCCACATACAACATCACAACCCAGCGATGGGGTGCCCTGGCCTGGTGAACACCTAAGGCTCTGCCCCTCAAACGTAACAGGTGCAACAAGACCAAAGAAGGGGAAAAAAAAAAAAAAAGATGGCGCAAACAGAATTGAAAGCTCCGCAGCCAGTACTTTTAAGCGACTGAGAGACAGACAATCTATCAGATGCACAGTTCAAAGCACTGGTGATCAGGATGCTCACAGAATTGGTTGATTTTGGTCACAAATTAGATGAACAAATGAAGGCTACAATAAGTGAAATGAAGAAAAATGCACACGGAACCAACAGTAATGGAAAGAAAACTGGGTTTCAAATCAATGGAATGGACCAGAAGGAAGAAAGAAACAACCAAACAGAAAAGAATGGAGAAATAAGAATTCAAAAAAAAATGAGGAGGGGCTTAGGAACCTCCAGGACATCTTTAAACGTTCCAACATCCGAATTATAGGGGTACCAGAAGGGGAAGAGGAAAAACAACAAGTGGAAAAGTTATTTGAACAAATAATAAAGGAGAACTTCCCTAATCTAGCAAAGGAAATAAACTTCCAGGAAGTCCAGGAAGCTCAGAGACTCCCAAAGAGGTTGGACCCAAGGAGGAACACACCAAAGCACATCATAACTACATTACCCAAGGTAAAAATGAAGGAGAGAGTTCTAGAAGCAGCAAGAGATAAGGGGACAGTTACCTACAAAGGAGTTCCCATCAGACTGTCAGCTGATTTCTCAAAAGAGACCTTGCAGGCAAGAAGGGGCTGGAAAGAAGTATTCCAAGTCATGAAAGGCAAGGACCTACATCCAAGATTGATCTATCCAGCAAAGCTTTCATTTAGAATGGAAGGGCAGATAAAGCACTTCTCAGATAAGGCCAAGTTAAAGGAGTTCATCATCACCAAGCCCCATATGAAATGTTAAAGGGACTTATCTAAGAAAAAGAAGATAAAAAATATGAACAGTAAAAAAAGACATCAAACTCACAGTTGGTAACAACTACACCTAAAACAAAAGCAAAATGAGCAAACAACTGGAACAGGGACAGAACCACAGAAATGGAGATCACATGGAGAGTTAGCAACAGGGGAGTGGGAGGAGGAGAGAGGGGAAAAGGTATAGAGAATAAGTAGCATAGATGGTAGGTAGAAAATAGACAGGGGGAGGGCAAGAATAGTATGGGAAATGTAGAAGCTAAAGAACTTATGACACATAGGCCTGAACTAAAGGGGGGGGGAATGTGGGTGGGAGGGGGTGGGCAGAGTAGAGGGGAGTGAAGTGGGAAAATGGGACAATTGTAATAGCATAATCAATAAAATATATTAAAAAAAAGAAATCATAAACAAAAACAATGAGAACTCCCAGATTGACTTTAAAAACAATTAAGCAAAATTCAGTTTTTATACTACTTTTTAATTGGCTCCAGGTCAAAAGGACACAGCAATGTTAGGAGATTTGAAATGTGTGGTTAAATTACAGAAAGGGAAAACTGAAAAGCATTTTAATAAGGAACAGAAATGAATATGATTGAGTACATGTAGAAATACCTCAGTGAGCTGACCATTTAGAAGAAACATTTTGTTCTTAACACTGATAAATGAAAAGCTATTCAAACTAATCTGAAGTAAAAGCATAAGACCAAGAACACATGCTGGCTATTAGAGAGTTACAGAAACACAAGTGGGAGGGGGGTGGAGTCAGGGTGAGGGTGGGAACCTGGTTCTAAAGAAATTACTGTTATAAATAATTTGTTAGAAAAGCATTACAATCAAAGGTAAAAAGACATTTCAATGAAGAATCTTTTCAACAAATAGTGATGGAACAAATAAGCATCCCTACGCAAAAAACAAACAAACAACAAAAAAAAACCATAACTCATTTCTCACAGTGTGAGAGAAATTAATTGAAAATGCATTGCAGACCTTAGTGTAAAAACTAAAAATATAAGACTTCTAGAAGGAAATACAGAAAAAAAATGTGTAATTTGGAATTAGGCAGAGTTTTTGATAAGGCACCAAGAAAAGACATATAAGAGAAAAAAGTGATAAACTAGACTACATCAAAATTTACAACTTCTGCTCTCTGAAATACACTGTTAAGAGAATAAAAAGATAAGCCACACACTGGGGAAAAAATACTTGAAATCAAGTATCTCACAAAAGACACTCAAAATTCAATAAAAACAAACACAATTTTTCAAAAATAGGCAGGGCAGACACTTCACTAAAGAAGATATATGAATGGAAAAAAAAAAGCAGCACATTAAAAGACACTCAACCTCACTACTTGTAAGGAAAATGCAAATTACATCCACAATAAGATACCATTATATACCTATCAGAATGAGGAGTGGAAGAACTGACTATCCTATGTGCCAGTGAAGATGCAGAGCAATCGGAATTTTCAAACACTGCTGATAGAGTTGCAAAACAATAAAGCAACACTGTAAACAACTTGGTAGTTTCTTACAAAGATAAATATACATTACTCATATGACCCAGTAGCAACTCTTAGGTATTTACTCAAAATAAATAAATATTTATATTTGTGCAAAAACTTACAAATGTTTATAGTAGCTTATTCATAATCTGCAAAAACTGAAAATAATTCAAATGTCTTTGAAGTGGTGAATAAGTAACATTTACCCGTACAGTGAATACTACTCAGGAAACAGAAAATGAACTGCTAATACACACATACACACAACCAACACAGATAAATCTCAAATGCAAGTGTTAATAAGTGAAAGAAACATATTCAAGGCTTCTTACTACACGGTTCCATTTTTAGTACATTCTGAAAGGAGCAAAACTATAGGGACAGAAAACAAAGCAGTGGGTGCCTCATTGTGGAAGTAGAGGGAGGAGCTGATTACAAAAAGGCACAAGAGAATCTGGGGTCTAATGAAACTGTTCTGTATCTTGCAGTGGTGGCAGTTACAAGACCAAATATCAAAACTTAGAACAGTGCATTAAAAAGGGTGAATTTTACTGTATGTAAATGATACTTCAATTTTTAAAAGTATTACATATTCATGCTACAATTAAAATAGAACAAAAGGTTAAGAAGTATAAAGTAATGGTCTTTCTCTCCATTCTGTACTTGATAAATACAATACAACCAACAACCGTTGCTAATCTATACAGTGCTCTCCTCTGGTGAAAGCTGGTTCTCGCTAACATTAATAACCTTGCAATGACAGTCATAACGATCACATCACAGATACTTGCAACGATAAGTCCAATTGCAATGGTAAGATTTCATTTCATGATCTGGACCAACAAATTTTGTGGTCATGTCCTAACTGTTCTCAAATAAATAGTTTCATTTTCATAGCAGTAGAAATGGTAACACTTAGTGTAAGGCCTTTCATCTAAAAGGCTTTAGTTTATGAGTACCTTCGGGAGTATTTGTGAAAGCTGCTGGACATCCATTGCATCTAGTTCTTCTCCTGAGACTGACTGGGAAGTTTTTGAATACAATCCCAGGCGACTGGCTAAAGTGAAATGGAAGAAAAAACATAATTTAAAAAATTGGTTTTGTTTGACAGGATAGTCAACATAATGCTCAGTTAATATAACTTGTCATCCACTCACTTTTAAGTATAAAATACCTCTATATCAAGGGACTGCAAGACAAACTACTAGTAAGGCAAAACCTATCTGAGTTTTAGACATCTGGGGTGTTCTGTTTCACTCTTTTATTTTTGTTTAAATTTAAGAGTAAATAAAGAGTTTTCACAACTTAATCCCTCATCAAAACTAAAAACTGAAACAAGAACAATGAGGTTCTGCACAGCAGCTCAACTGTAATGAAGATCAGAGTGCATTTTAAGTATCCAAAGTCAAATAAAATGATGGCTGATGTGGTAATCATGTAGTTCTATGTAAACAAAAATAAATGTTGCCAGTTTTTCAAAGTATAATCTTCCCAACCATGTTAACGTTTCTAATAACATTCTTCTTTAATAACATAAAGAGAAACTCCCATCCCAACCTCTGTCCATATTAATAAAATCAGAAATAATGAACTTCTAGCAAATTGCTTAAATTTATCAGTATGAAGTATAGTGTACAGGCTCTGGGAGATTAACTTTCATGTTCATTTTTAACCCTTTTACTTTTTAAGGCAATTATAAGTGGCATTCAAACAATACAGACATACATATGATGAGATAAGAGAAACAAACAGCTATTTTCTTTCAAAATAGGTACAAATCTTGCTTAAAAATACTTACGTTAAAAGGAAAAAATTAATTTTCATGTTTCCTTTCACATTCATGATCTAGTGCTTTTTATTCATCAGGATAGTGGGTTATGAGGTTAAAAAACGTTTTCAACTAAACTAAGTTTTGTCCCACAATTTTATACAGAGCATGAGCACATAAAGAATCAATTTTAATTATATATATATAATCTCAATATTATGTAAACACATTTCATGTCTAATGGTTCACTAAACCATGCACGGCAGCAATTTTTTTAAAAAACTATCAAAAACAAAAGGAAGCAGCCTAATACCGATTGCAACTGCAGTCTCCTGTGAGTCTCCAGTAATCATTTTTATTGAAACTCCTGAAGCAATGAGTGTTGTAACAGCTTCTTTCACACCAGTTCTAGGAGGGTCGATGATTCCCACCAGGCCAAGGAATGTCAGTTGTCCCAGTTCAGGACCAGAAGCCAAGGCAAGAACTTAAGAAATAATAATAAAATCCAAAAAAGAAAATGTGAATCACAAAAGCATTAGAATTTACTTGACAAAAGCTAGAGACAGTAACACTTCTAACACAAATAAATCACTTAAAATTATAACGTCATTGTGGTTATTACATAATCTTTAAAAACCAAAATGATTATGTGGTAAGACATCATAGTTTAATGATTATAGATACAGGATTGCTTTAAAGTATTAAAATTAAAAGGAATAAGACAAAACTGTTAAGAGAAGGCAAATGAGAAATGAATAAAGAATGTTTTCATCTAGTAACTATATGCAGCTCCTTTCAATACAAACTATTGGCTCTTTAAAAAATACAATTAATTATTTGGAAAAACTATAGGTGTGTTGAGCTTTAAAGTCAATTTTAAACAAGACACCTCTGAAGGTGACTTTTACTAATGTTATCTTCAGCTTTCCAGTTTATAGGTCTCTTTAATAAGTCAATAGCTTGAAAAGAAGGCTATATCAATTAATTAGACACAACATGTAACAATCTCACATACCAAGGGGGTAAAGGTAACTGTAAAGTGATTACAAAACCACTAACATACACAAGAGTTTGCATTTCTTCATCCTTCCCATAACATTAACAGGTATTTCTTAACTGCAACTCTGGTAATGTAAGAGTATAAATAACACCACCCTACCATTATTTTTTTTAACTTCTCGTGTGTGTGTGTGTGTATTTTATTGTTGTTCTATTACAGCTGTCCCAAACCCTACCATTATTTACAGTTGGCTTTTGTCATCCTCGAGCACTTAAGAGATAGTACAAAGTACTACTCATTGCCAAATATCATTAGTTTATTCTCAGAATTCTGGAACCTCTTATAACTACCTTAGCAGCCAAAGAGATGTGTGTCTACCTGGTATATTATTAGACTGAAGAACTTATCAAAGAAAACACACACACACACAAACACACCAACTAAACATATACATCCCATGGGCAAACTAAAAAGTCCCAGTGAGATCACAAGAAGTATCCATTCTTATTTAAGCAGAATATATGGAAGATTAGATATATTTGGAAATCCTAGGTTAGAACCAAAACTTCCATTTTTCCAGTGTTGAGAGTCATATATGCAGTCTGTCCAGAAAGTAACCAGCCATGTACTATGAGGAGAGACATTTATTGAAGAAGATACAAGATACGAGAAACTGTATGTAGGCCAAGGACATCTCAGTCCCCTTCAAAGTAGACACCTTGGGACCTCTCCCAAATGCAGCACTATGATCCTTTTGCTCTGGTAGCAGAAGCCATGGAACAAATTTTGCCATGACATATTCCACGCCAAGATCCTGCATCAAAATCTCAGACACAGTAGTTTTTGGAATCCTCAAATCAGCTTCTGGTTCTAGTTCTCACACTGACAGTCATCGATCTTTGTCGACTGCAGCCCGTACACATTCAACACTCTCAGGTGTTCTGCTTGCTGTAGGCCTTCCAGAACGTGGATCACTTTCAGCAGATTCTCGATCATCTTTAAAGTGTTTGTGCCACACTTTTATTTGTGCTGCACTCACTGCATCATCTCAGAAAACTTTCTGAATCATCTGAATAGTTTCGGTGGAAGAATGTTCAAGCTTAATGCAAACTTTAATGCAGATTCATTGCTATACTCACTCGTTTTGAATGTGATGGCTACAAAGTACACATGCCCACTCAATGGCACCTACCACCCCCACTGACTAGTACAGTGAAGTCATCACTGTTCACGCATGCACGTCCTAGTCCACTGTCTTTAGCTGCCAGGTTACACTGATGTGCTGCAAACCATTCTTGTTATGTTAACAATGGCTGGACTTTTGCCGGACATACCTTGTACCTATTTATGTACAATAGATGGGCCACACATCTACATCAACAGTTAGGTATATGACTTCACCCTGACAGTCCCTGGTGTTGGGACCGAGGCAGATAGTGACAGAAGGGGACAGTACCAGTTTGTGTCAGCAAGTCCTAAGAAAGGGTGATCAGCGCTTGAACTCTCAATGGAGGGGTGGTATTAGCCTAGAGGTTAGTATCCTATATTTATTTGCTTGCTTCTTTAGAACAAATGCAGATCTATGCTACTGTTTGGGACACGGTTTAGAACTGTTTAGACCTTTTTCATGTGGAGGGTCTGTAACTAAAACATGAAAACAAACATACTCTAATTACAAACCATATACACTTTAAAAAACTTTTTATAAGATGTAACACTAAGTACTTATCAAATTAAATTTAAAATCTTTCCCTTCTTCATTACAGTAATTTCAGGTGGAAAAGGAAAATGGAGCACAAGCAGAGGAAGTGGGAAACATAAGAAGAGACAAATGACCAGAATGCTTTCCAAAGCCCTCTGAAACAAAGACTCCACTCTACCAACTCTGGTCTGTTTCACAATATTATAACGCCAAACCATACATACACAAACCTCCATGTTCCTCCAGATGAAAAGAGAATTTAAAAAAATACATCGTGAAACCCCTGTTCTAAAAATTAAGGAAAACAAGAAGCACATGCTAGACCTTTAGGGTTTCTTCAAGGTCTCTATATCCAAGCCAACTTTGAAACCCTCCTGCTGTGAGCTAAGAATAACAAAACTCTACCCTAAAGTAAAGCCACAGAATACCTTTCTAAATCAGAAAGTCTATAAATCTATATAAATGTTTTATGCACACAGAAAGTCCTTGCTTAAGTGAACCATGAGTAGGGAGATTTTTTACATAACTTGTTCCCCATCCCAGGAATTGTGCTTGGCTTCCATTTTGTAAAAAGTAATAAAATTAAGGAAATCAACTCTTCCAGTTTCCTTGAGAGAGACTACATAAGTGTGTGTGTGTGTGTGTCCCATAAGCCAGATGACTATTCAGAAGGTAAAAACCAAGTACAAGTACAGCCCCAACCCCGGACTCCTGGACCCTACACATGATGTCCCTAAGAGAAGTGGCCTGGTGTGTATGCACAGCAGACCCTCTCTCTCTGTCATGTTTGGTCAGGAACACAAATGCCAGCAGGATCTGGGCATTTCTTTGCCTCTGGTAAATGCCAAGGGAAGGAAGCAGATGAGGAAGAAGTAAGCAATCACCTCAGCTTAAATGCCAAATTAGAGGCTTCAGACTTCCATATTTAAGCAAGTACTTTAGATCTATTAACAAATAAGACAAAGTAACAAAATAAGGAAGGAGTGACATCACTTGACCTCCATCCATCTCCCTCCTTATAAGATAAACAATTTCTATCATCTTTGCAGAGATCACTGCAGGTTTCTAAGAACTAGAAATTGCATATTCTGCTATATTCCAATTTCTCGAGGTTTTAGGGGCCAGTTAAAACATAACACTTCAGAAATGGTGGGGTTCTACAAAGCCTGGACTATAGCTGGACAGCTCAGATGTGAAGCATGAATTCACCTGCAATTAACAGACAGCATTACCTTTCCAACCTTGGGGACTAGGCTGAAGCAACCTTACCTCTGAGCCCTGCTGAGCCCATTTGTGCCTTCTCTTGTTGGTACAGATCTCTCTGCTGCTGGGTGAGTGTCAAAGTCTGCCCTTTGCTATGGTACGTAGTACAATACTTAATCACCTGTTCATAAGCACCCTTCATAAAACAAATCTCTGGTCCATCCTAAGAAAAAGCATAGCAAATAAATTCAAATTAATTTCAACTTGTACATATCTGCCATTGGAGTGCAAAAGCCAGTGGCATTCATTTCTCATAATCCTCAGGGAAGTTACTCAAGCCTAACGCTTGGAGTGGCACTTGAACTCTGACGATTAAAAGCTCATATCTGGGGGTTTTCTGCATCCTATATAAAAAAAAGGCATCTACTCTCTACCCTCATACCCACACATTGAAGACAGTGCTACACTACACCCCAGATGAAGCACTCTGAGATCTGAAGAGAAGCTCACAACTTAATAGGAAAGAGATCTAACAACATCAGCCCAAGCAATGGTTCAAGCCTTCTATTGGTTGTTAGTGTGTGTGTGTGTGTGTGTGTGTGTTCCCATTTAATTCTCACAACCACCTTATAATTGAGTTTTATCAGACTTTCTATTTTTTCATCATAGTAAAGTAATATACAAAAGCTTACAATGAAAAATCACAGTTCCCTGCCCAAACCTTCTCACCTCTAGTTGTACCTCAAAAAGGCAAGCCAATTTTAAACTTTATAGACGTACACATGTCTTCCTTGGTATTTATCTCCATGTTTTTAAATATGTTGTACTGTTACTCTTTTCCTTATCAATTTTATACATTGTCTGTTGGGACAATGTATAAAATTGTCCCAACAGGTGATAGTCTGACCACCCCACTACCTATCCCTCCTCCTCATACCATTATAATATAATTAAAGCAAAATTTGTCAGTACTGTTTACTTTATGACTCCTCACTGTCGAATGAAGTGGTAGCCAATAAAACAGTTCATACACATCCCAGTTCTCCGTGTGGCGCATAGTAGGAACATGTTTCCTTGTCTCTACCTCCCACTTGGAAGTCAGGTGTGACTTTCTTTGACCAATAAATATGGGCAGTACTTGTGTCACTTCCAAATGGAGATCTAGGAACCAAAGCATAAGGTGTTCTTCCTCTACATCTCATTACAGTGTATGATCACACTGAGATAGGCACCTGAGTCCCCAGATAACTAGTGAACAGATATTAGAGGGCAGGGAAGCAGCAGGAAGGCATGTGATGTTTTCACGGTGTATATAAATAAAATATATTTATTTTCCTGTCCAAGCTTCATCTTTTGGAAAATGAATAGCTGCCTCCTTTTTTATTTGCTTGGTTTTCTTTGTACTTATTACTTATTATTCCGGAATTCTTCCATGTAATTATGAGCCCTGCTAAATGACATTTTTGACCTGATCGAGTGAGCAGGTAAACTATTACTCCCAAACTATTACTGAAGATCTTCTCCCTGAGTCACATTCTCCCTCCCTTGTCTAACCTGAGAAACCTGGTTGCTAGGCTGCTGCACAACTGGCATACAAGAACTTCCTCTCCCCTCTCTCCTGGAGATTCTTTCCACCCCTGTCCTGGTTAGAACTCACTGTGTGCTATGCCTTCCTTTTCTTTAGTTTGTTGTCTTATCCTGAACTCACGTATCCACCAATATCTTTCTAAGAAAAGATGGGTGGCATATCCATTTTATTCCATCCCCACATTTTTTAGTTCATCTAGGAATACATTTCCTCTCAATTTGAATGCTTTCTTCTTTATCTTCCAGCCTCCACTATCCAATGCTGTATCTGAAGTCCAAAGAAGCAACTTTAATTCCTAAACCTGTATATATGTGATCTCCCCCTTGACTGGCCTCCCACCCACCCCAAAACCTCTGGAAGCTTTTAGAATTCACACTAAGTACCTCAAATTTGATTATTTTTTTTTTTTTACCTCTGAAGGAGGAGAAATTTCCAAGACGTGATTTTGCCTGACCCATGAGCTGGACCTGGGCCAGAAACGGGAGATTGCTTCCTCCAAGCCCCACTTAGAGATGGACTGATCATAACCAATGTTCATTCTGACATAAACCAGTAACCCTCTCCCGCCTCCCACTGCGTGCTAGTTCCTGCAACAACAGGCTGCTGTCCTGACCTGGCTGGGCATGCAAACTAATTTCTCATACCTGGAAGCATTCACATGCTGGTACCCATGACCATGCCCTCCTTTACCCTACATAATTCTTTGGCACCCGTCATTTTTGTCTTCCAACTGTCCAAGACCCACCTCCTATGTAAGATTCCCTTTAAAAACTCCATTAATTACGAGACTGCAGTGACGAGTCTCCTTCTTAGGTCTTTCACGGCCCTGAGCCTACAAAGGGAGATTTTCAGTCTCAGGATGTTTTCCTGGGTGTACAATCTCCTCCCTAGCTGACAGACAATTTTATTCTAGAAGCTGAGGTCCTTTTTTTGGAAAATTTTCTGGTGCTATTTGTTAAAATATTCCCATTTTGTTTTTTCTTCCTGTTACCACTATCAGATGGATGTTGAATTTCCTATATTTATATTCTGATTTTTGTACTTTATCCTTTATTTTGTTCACCTCTTTGACTTTTTATTCTATTTTCTGATAGATTCCTTGACTTTATTTGAAAGACTTTCTATTTAAAGCATTTTGTCATTTTTATGGTCTTTGGAAATTTACTTAAGCATCTGGCATTATCTTTGTTTCTCTGAGACCTCTTTCTCTGCTGGTTTGGTCTGTCTTTCAAAATGAAGACTTCCCCCAAATATCTAGCAGTCCCGGACCACCCACTAACATCTATGACTGAATCGAGGAAAGGTCTAGAAACTGGAGGGTACCGAATGGCAGAGTTTACCAACCTGAGGCTATCGGCTGACTACATCAAGCCCAAGATTAGATAAATTCCACCAATGAACAAAGAGTTTAGTTAGGATTACTCTGTAGTGTTGGAATCCCACGTCCTCATTTAGAATGAAGATGCCTGCAGGCATTCCAGGAAAGTAGAGTTAGGGCCTAGGGGCTTGACCTTCAGGACAATGGCTTCCCCTTAATCACTCCTTTTCCACAATCTTAAACCAATTTAATTCACCCCCTACTCTTATCCCCTAGATGAGATTTCTGATATTCTACTGGGCTAAAGGTATAACCTCAAAAAAAGAGAAATGGTACTTAGAGGAATTTTATTGGTTTCTTATTCAGAATTTCAATCTGATCTCATTTTTAGCCTTACACCTTAGTCTCTGCCTTCAAAGATACTTGGTCACCCTGAGTCTTCCCCATACTTCTTCTTTTTACATTTGTATCTTTTATCCATTGGTTGTTGTTTATGCAGGTTCCAGGGAGAGAGTAGAGAGAAATGTATATTGTCCAGTTCAAATGAAAGTCCTCTAAAGACAAACTATTTGAGAGCCACTAAGGTTGTTTTTAAAGTGATAACTTTGCCTTATCTATGCCAAGCTGACCTCTTCTAGATCCTGAGTCAAATCAGTGGGTTTGGGTTTTGTTAGTTACAATGGCTGATTCTGTTTTGTAGGAGAAACTTCATATGGGAAAAATGACCACACAGATTTGTGTCCTGCCACTTTCACAACTGGGAAGAATCAAAGTACCACTTCCAGTATATAACTTGGATGAGGCTGGATTAAAAACCACTGAGGTCAAATCACATGAGCGACAGTATCTTGAAGTACTGTGTGATAGTATGCAAAATGTTAAAAAAGAGATCTTCCAAGTAAACTGACATATGTATTCTTGCTATATCATTGATGGTCAAGGGACATCATCTGAAAATTTTATTACTCAAATGCAATTTTTGAAAGCTTCGTGTTACCAGGTATAATTCATTTCAAAATGTTTGCTTACCGGTGAAAATACTAACCAATTATTAATTCCTAAAAAAGGAAATGTAAAAATAACAAATACATGTTTTTTTAGGGCCAAGTAAGTTTAAGCATTAAGTTGTAAACAGCAACTATGAATGATATGACTGTACATTGGAGATAACTAAGAACTCTTATTACACTTTGTAAAAATTTCTAAAGCACCCAATCACAAAGTAGTAGTAGCCTAATATATCAGCGCATGTCATTTTACGACTTTGTAAGCCGGATCAACTAATATGAAATATACACATGTGATGCACAAAACAATGTGATTTTGTTTTGAAGATAAGACATTCCTTCAGTGAAAGAACACAGACAATAGTCAGCAGAAACCTGTAACAGCCTGTCACCAAGGACAAAATACAGGTTGAAAGAATCTGTCACAAGCTCTAAGAAACTGAGACCATGCTCCACCTCGATTAAGTTGTTTGCTCACACAGCATAACTAGATATATCTATGCATGAAGTCAAAGAGAATGTGAGAACAACAAGGGATGAATCTACTATGAATTATGCACACTTTAAAGCAACAGATCTTTGTTATGCTCAATGACTGTATAACTCTAAAGGTGGACAGACAATAAATGAAAAACAGTCACCTACGTAAAACAAGATTAGTATTCTTTAAATGGAAGGATACCTGCTGTGTTCGGTGTACACACTTAACAGCCATCCACTTTTGCTCAGAGCTAAAAGGATATTCAGCTTTTCTGATATAGTCCTGTTGAAGTCCATCAAGGCCCATCTACATGGCACAAAAAGAGAGTTAACTCACCAACATGTGACTATTTTTTCCTTTAACAAAAAAAACAAGGGTCAGAACTTACAGCTAGGCTAGGTAGAGATACCCTGGATTATTTTTCAAATAATAGCAACAGAATAGCTGTGCCCCATCTATACATACCATATATCTCCGAATAGCAGCATACATACTCACCATGGAAGTCTGGGTATTTAGATACACCCTAAGGCATGCTACCTGGACCATATACACATACATATACAGTTTTCAACACTGATTATATTAAAATCTCTACTGACTCAAATTCTGAACAGAAGCAGGATATAACTAAACAAAGTTACCCAACACATACTGAGCATTTACTTCTATAATGAATAGAAATTTAGATTCAATTCTTTGTTTCTTATGGATTTAACTTTAACTTAGCTGTTGCTACCATTCTACTCCCTTACACTCTCACCCTACCACTTGATACTCTGACTATTACAAATGTCATATAGCTATTCACCCTCCCAATACCCTGTTGTATTTTCCTCCAAATATTCGAAAATATTTTTTAAACTACTCAAAAACCTAGTTCATTACTTTTGTTGACTTTTTGTTGTTGACTGAAACATGAAAAGACTGTTCTTCCTTGTTTTCAAAGGTCCTCCAGAAACTAACCATACAGTCTATTTAGCGGTCCTCTACATTACTCAAACTCCTTCCACTTCATCCACGTTAATCAATTCAAAAGCCACTATCCATTCTAGGCTTATGTATTCCCCTGTGTTCTTACTACTGCTCTTTCCCTGGTTTGCCTACTATCGAAACCCTTCTTATCACCCTGACTGGTGTGGCTCAGCTGGGTGGGTGTCACCCTGCAAAGCAAAAGGTCACCGATTCAATTTCAGGTCAGGGCACAGGCCTGGGTTGCAGGCCTGATCCCCTGTTGGGGCACGTGCAAGATGCAGCCAAGTGGTGTTTCTCTCTCACATAGATGTTTCTCATCCTCTTTCTCCCTCCTTTTCCCTCCCTCTAAAAATAAATATTTTAGAAAATAAAAATAAAATAATAAACCCTTCTTATCCTTCAAAGCCCAGGTCCCAAGTCTGAATTTGAACTCTTCTTCTGTGTAGTTCAATATTTAAGACTTAACTCTCTACTACCCTGGTCTGCCTTGTACTTGTTCCAAGCACACCAGTGTCACCGTCCTACCTAAAATGTGAGGTCCCCACCCATAAAAACTGGGTTTCACATTCCTTATCTCTCAGAGATTAAGTTAAATATAACACAGTAAATCCTGTCAACATATTCAACTTTTGAATATCCTGTTATATATAATACAGTAATACTTGTGAACAAATTCAATTTTTGAATAGCTTTTAAAAAGCTATGCCATCCTATTTTAGCTAAAAGGAGAATAAATGATAAAATGTTAGTCTGTTAAGAAAGCATATTCTAAAACTATCAATTTTGTTTTTAAAATTAAGTGTTATAATAATCACCACTTTTTTAAACTTTTTTTTTATTTTAATTGTTGTTCAGGTACAGTTTTCTGTCTTTTACTCCCATCCCAGGCCTCCCCACCTGTCCCATTTCCACCCCCTCCTAGTTTTTGTCCATGTGTCCTTTATATTTATTCCTGTATTGGATCTCAATGCAAGCAACTTCATTTAGAGGCATATTCTATTTCACAAAAGTCTCAAAGTTTTCTAAGACTTCTAAGAGAAGTAGGAGTTTTAGCTCTGCCTGGTGTGGCTCAGTGGATTGAGTGCCAGCCTAAGAACTAAAAGGTCACCAGTTTGATTCCTAGTCAGGGTACATGCCTGGGTTGCAGGCCAGTGGGTATATGAGAGGCAACCTAGCAATATTTCTTTACCTCTCTTCCTTTCTCCCTTCCACTCCCCCTAAAAATAAATAAATAAAATCTTCTTTTTAAAAGTAGGAATTTTATTTTTGTTTGGGAGCGACAGATTAGACTTTTAGGTTTCTTATTTAATAAAATGTAGGACTTAGGAGACTGGATCAACTGAAATACATAAAAGGGTTACTGAGAAGAGCACTCCATCTCCCTAACACAAATTCTAACTCTAGATTCATTTAATAAATTGATAATGAAGAAAAAGAAAAGATTGAAAAAAAAAAAAGCTGGTTTCTCAGGATGTCCTTAATACCTTCACATGGAAATAATAGAATGTTGCCTTTTACTCATTTGAAAGTATTTATCAGCAATAACACACATAATGATTTTCACACAAAACTCTAATGATTATGGAAGACAAACATTTCTGCTTTCATAACTGGTTATTACTTTGTTTCTTTCATTTAAGAGATAAAGTTACACTGAAAAAGCTTTGTGCTCTGTATTTCCAGGAAGACTAACACTGATTCCCAAAGGCAGTAAAAACAACATGCCTAAAACCAGTAAAAATGAAACTGATGGACTCACATTCTCTTGTTAAGGGTGATGTTGTATATGTCAAAGAAGACAGATTAGGCACATACCTTCATTGCTAGAGCAATTAAGGCTCCTTCTGTTGGCTTCCCCATTAGAGTGTTGTTTCTAATTACAGCATCATTGCACACACAGCCCGCCTAAGAGAAATACACATAAACTGTGAACTCATCACTGTGTCCTAAGTCATTATGAAGAATGGCACCTTCTTAGAGAATAAAGCATTTACCTCAACAATTCTGCTAACAGCTGAGTTATAAAATCCATGAACAACATCACCATCAACAATCACTTCTCCAAATGGATTGTAGCCAACTCCAGTAACCTAAGAAATAAAGCAGGGCCAATAACATAATCAGTAGATAGTGACAATACTTATAAAAGCCAAAATCTATGATGAGTTGTATTCATTTCATTTTATACATCATGACACTGTTAGCATGAATACATAAGTATTGAAATTTGTGTAAGAGAATATTTAAGGGTTAAATATAAATTCTAATTTTTACCATAGTTATACAATTTTAATTATACTAATAATTATAGTTAATAATTGTAATAATGTATAGTATATCGTAAGTAGAAACAATATAATTATTAACATAATATAATCTTTTATTTCTTCTACCTACAATATACTATTAAATACCTATAAACCACAAAAATCTCTCTATATAAGTGAGCTTAAATTTATAAAACACTGTATTAATATAATACAATATGCAAAGAATTCAAACCCACTGCCACATCTAACATTCATGACAAGCTTGTAAAATAGACAAAAGCAGAATTCTTTTTGCAAATATGCAGGCTCAGAGACAGTAAGTAATTTATCCCAGCAATTACAAGCCACTTTAACAGCGTATTACAAACCAGTTTTAAAAATCAGAGGCTGAAACAAGCCAGATACTTATCCCATATAACTAGAACAAACCAAGCCAAACAAAAATTAAATTTACAATAAAAATAAGACAATTAAGAGAAAAATTAACAAATAGTTAATGCCTTACATCTACGAGGTCTGTCCAGAAAGTATCCATCCATGTAATGTGAAAAATAGAGGCATTTATTGAAGAAGATCCAAGATAAAAGAAACACTGTATACAGGACAATGACACCTCAGTCCCCTTCAAAGCAGGAAACTTGGAACCTCACACAGTTCTCCCAGTGTTTCTTCCACTGTTCAAAACACTCTGCAAAATCATTTTTTGGAATTGCCATGAAATGTCTCATCATATATTTTCCTGAATGTCATCTACCATCTGGTATCTCTTCCCTTTCAAAGGTGATTTTAGTTTTGGGAAAAGCCAGAAGTCACAGGGTGCCAAATATGGGCTTTTGTGGGGCTGAGTCACCTGGGTAACTTGATGTTTCACCAAAAACCTCTGCACAAGACATGATACCTGAGCAGGCATGTTGCCATGACAAAGCTGCCAATCACTAGTTGCCCATGGCTGTAGCTGTTTTCTTTGCATTACATCTCTGAACCAATAAAGAACATTGAGGTAGTACTCCTTATTAATTATTTGGCCTGGAGGGGTGTACTTGTGTCAGGTAACACCTTCACAATCAAAAACACCGTCAACATGGTCTTGATCTTGTTCTGACTTTACCACACCTTCTTTGGGTGTGGAGAACCAGGCGATTTCCATTGGGATAACTGGACCTTTGTTTCCAGGTCATAGCCATAGACCCATGATTCATCTCCTGTTATGACCTTAAGGAGATCTGGTTCATTGGCAGCAGTTTGAATCAACCACAGCATGATGTTTTTTTCTGTTCTGGTAGCACACTGAAGAATAAATGTTGCCACAGCAGGTTTCATGCCAAGATCCTGCGTCAAAATCTCGGAGTAGTTCTTGGAATCCTCAGATCTACTTCTAGTTCTCACCCTGTCCACTGCTGATCTTTGCTGATTGTAGCCCAGACACATTGAACATTCTCAGAATGCGGATCACTGTCAACAGATTCTTGACCATCTTTCAAGCATTTGTGCCACATTTTTATTCATGCTGCCCTCACTGCATTGTCCCCAAAAGCTTTCTGAATTATCCAAATAGTTTCCCCAGAGGAATGTTCAAGTTTAATGCAAACTTTGATGCAGATTCGTTGCTCTGCTCTCTCATTTTGAATGCAACAGCCACAGACTATACATGCTCCCTCCATGGTGTCTACTACCCCCACTGACTAGTAAGCTAACGGCATTGTTCATGCATGCACATTCCAGTCCACTCTCCTTGGCTGCAAGGTTACACTGATCTCACACAAACCAATCTCATTATATTAACAATGGTTGGACTTTTTCCAGACAGACCTTGTAAAATTATGGGCTTGCCCTGGCTCAGTTGGTTGGAGTATCGTCCCATGCACCAAAAGACTATGGGTTTAATCCTGGGTCAGAGCACATTCTCAGGTTGTGGGTAAAATCCCCAATATGGGAGGCACCTGATAGACTGATATTTTTCTCTCTCACATTGTTGTTTCATACTCTCCTTACCCCTTGCTTTCCTCTCTCTAAAAATAAATAAAAACTTAAAAAAAGAAAAAAGAAGTATCAAGCAGTGTTCAAAGTGTTAGGACTATACAACTGGAGTAAAACAAGACTTGGTAGAATCACTCTGGAAAGAGAAAGCTCTACTGCTAACTAATGTTATAGCCATTTTAAAGGTAAGTCTCTGGAATAGTTAATAATGTTAAACACCAAGTGTCTTAACAAAGAAATACTATTGTTAAATCAATCTATAGAGTACCTCAGCATGCAGACCATCTGAAGTAAATATGTGAGTGACGGTCATTTCATTTTTCGTCAGTGTTCCAGTTTTATCTGAGCAAATGACATTACAGCAGCCTAAAGAACAAATCATTACGTGTCACCAAAAGTCAATGAAAAATACAAGTTCATATTGAAAACAAATCAGACTGTACTGTAGAAGCCTGCCCTGCTTCTCTGAATTTTATACAAATCAAGCTCACTGAAAATTTTAAATTGCTGACTCTCATAATGTTTACTTTATCATAAAGTAGTTTATGCAATTAAAATTAAAAATTAGATATTTATAAATGCTGGCTTTTTCTTATTTACAATTGGTTTCTTACTTATTTACAATTTGATTTCTTCAAAGCTACTCGATATTAGCTTTATATAATACATTTCTAGAACGTTTTAAGGGTACCTAAGTATTAGTCCATACAATTTTTTAAATCAGTATTTTAAGATATTTTACCTTCTCAATAATAAAATACAAATGAGAAACTAAATCCAACAATTCTAGATTCCTACATTTTAAAAAAATTAAGTTTCACAGCATACATAAAGTTATCGCAATTTTTGTATCACATATAAAGTATTATAGCAATGTAACTATTGTATCTTTATTGTTCTTATCAGCAAATTCTACTTAGGTATGACATTTCAAGATCTATAATTATCAATTATTTTTCTTGAGGTGTCAAAAGAATTCTACTAAAGTTTCATTTGTTATATGGATTTTTTAAACATTTTAAGAATTAGAACACTCCACGATGCAGAAAGACTTCTTAGTGAGTTCCCTGTCCAGAATGGTATGCATTTTTAATTATCTTTTTTGGTTGTTAAGACCATACTCACATTGCCACAAGCCAAATATCACTAAGCAAAACTATTAAGACAAAAAATTATAAAATCCAAACATAATTCACTATTAGTGTAACACATCTTTGTATAAGTAGGCTCTTTCCACAGACTTACCCAAAGTTTCAACTATGGGCAGTTTTTTCACAATGGCCCTTTTCTTCACCATTCGCATAACACCAAGGGCCAGAGTCACTGTGACCACTATGGGAAGACCTTCAGGAATTGCTGCTACAGCCAAACTGTAACCAATTGAAGTTTAAGTTACATAGTAACCACAGCAATAATTTCAACTGTTACTTAAAATAGCAGCTAAAAATAACTAAAAAATTAATACTGTCAACACCAAAAATGGCGCGAAAGGAAGGGGAAGTTAACATGCACTGGACATCTACTAGCTGTCCGGGTAAGCAGTAAACAATATAGGTTCTGACATCAGATTGCTTAGTTATACGGCTAGCTGCAGTGATTTTTACCTGTGTGACCCTGAACTATTATTACTCCATCTCTGTAGTTTAAGTTTCCTCATCTGCAGAGACAGATGACAGTAATGGATGTTCAAACAAAACTTGTACATGAATGTTCACAGCATCACTATTCACAATAGCCAAAAACCTTGAAAACAGGCCAAACACCCATTGACTGAATGGGAAATTCTGGTATACACATACAATGGAATATTACTCATCTGCACGATGGAGTATTATTCAGTCATAAAAAGGAATGTAGTACTGATATATGCTCAAAATGGATGAACCCTGAAAACCCTTAGAATTGATTTCTTCAAAGCTACTTGATATTAGCTTCATATAATAAATTTATATAATACATTTTCTAGAATGTTTTAAGGGTATCTAAATATAAACCCATATATTTTTTAATAAGTATTTTAAGGTATTTTACCTCCTCAATAATAAAATGCAAATGAGAAATTAAATTCAACAAATTTGGATTCATAAAGTTAGAAAAGTTTCATAGCACACATAAGGGGTACTGGAAGAAAGGTGAAGGGATTAGCCAAAGAACAAACATGCATAAACCACAGACACAGACAATAGTGTGGTGATGGCCATGGAGGGTGGAAGGGGTGAAAGGGTTGGTGGTGCTGGCCTAAGGGAGGAATATGAGAATATCTGTAATAGTGCCAACAACAGTTAAAAAAAAATTATGTTAAATCAAAGAATGTAGACACACAGAAGGACACATGACTCCATTTATATGAAATATCAACAAATCAGCAAACCACAGAGACACAAAGGAGTTTAATGGTTGCCAAAAGCTGGGGAGACAGAAGAATGAGGATGGATTGCTCAATGAACACAAGGTGTTCTTTTGGTGTGATGAGAAGTTCTGACACTAGATAGTGGTGATGGTTATAAATTATGAATATAGTTAACTGCATTGTATTTACATTTTTAAATAGTACATTTTAGGGTATGTGTATTTTATCATAACAAAAAAATGATTATTTCATTGTTTCCCTTATGACATAAAAAAAGAATTAAATCTCTATTTTTATCCCATTTCAAATATTATCTCTTGACTCCACTATAGATAAGGGTATAAACATTTCTATTCTTCATTCTAACAATGTTCCCTCCTCTGTTTCTACTTCCCAATTTCTGTACATACTTTTTCTGCATGATCTAACTTCGTATTATTAGCATTCTGTTCCATAATATATTTAACTTTTTCAGCTTTGTTTATAGGTTGATTCTAAAATTGAAAGCCAATACATAACATTTATAATATCACTGCCTAAACAGTGTTCACTAAAGAGTCAAGAAATATGTGCTATCATTAATACTTCCTTCTCACTTTTGAACTACTCTAAGTTCAAACACAACCTTATGCTTTCATAACCTTCACTAAACTATATCAGGAAAACCAGGCATCATCATTTACAATCTAGATCCAATGGGCCTTATCATGCTTTTATATTTAAGCCATTTTATAATTAATTTGCAAAGTCAATTTGAATTTTAACTATATCCCTCAATTTGAAAGTATATATATCTGAAATGGGAAATCTCCTTTGGGTGCCACGAATTGCTCATTAGCTGTCATGAATGACCCTGGAAAGTATCCTTACAAGTACTGATTTCAAAATCAAAAACATTTCGAAAGTGATAGGCTTATCAACTCTGGTTCCGCTGTTTGCATTTATTTCTTCAAATGCAACACTTCTGAAAATGCCGATGGTTCATAACTTTGTTGAAGAGAGACAGTCATCTTCTTTGTAACATTAATTGCTAAACATTTTCATTTTTAGATTTACAAACACCAACTACAATGGTGAATCAAATGAAGTATTTAATTTCTATTTCCTTTTTATCACCTTTACATTCATACCAGCCTTGAGCATTCCTCCACTTACAAATGATATAATGTAAATGTTGGTAAATAAATATAAAAGATGAAAGGATACTGTCATACATCCTTATCCTTTTAGCAAAAAGGGGTGGTCTAGGTTCTTGTTGGAAAACACTACATGATGAATTCCTTGTTTAATGACTAACAGGAAGAGAATAGCTATCCTTTCTTTTTTTTTCCTTAAAAATAAACTGTTCATTCACTAGTTCAGGAGTTTGAGAAAATCTAGATTAGCTTCACCTAAGGACTAACAGTGTTGAGACTGCACTTATATGATTCAATTTCGCCCTCATCATTAGAGCCTAGTTGTTGTCTCCTTGCATTTATCTTCTGGTTTGTTTAATAATTGTGAAAATTCTCTCATCAATTATGCTTTGCAATTATGATAGAAAATAAAAAGTGCTGAATTCTTAACTTTGTTTAATGAATAAAAAAAAAAGTACAAAGATTGTATCTCCAGGCTTCTTTTATACTGCCTTAAAGATGATTAATACTTTGGGCAACATAATAAGCAAATCAAAAGATAACAGAATAGTTAATAATTTATTATTACATCAATTTATAAGCAATTCCATCCTTCTGCTTGCTTATTTACTCATTTTTAGCCCAGCTGGAATAACTGTTAAAACAATTGCTAGGATAAAGAAATAACAGAATGTTCTGAGACACAGGTAAAGTATGGCCACTAAAATCCTATAACACATCTCAAATTTATGAACCCATATTATAATTGCAAAATAGACTAACTTTAATTCAATTAAAATTTTTTTAAATGTTTGTGCTTTGGAAGACCTTGAGTAGAAATAGCAATTGTGATTTGCCAACTTCACAAATAATTAAAACTGCTCAAAAAAAATATTTCCAGAAGTTAAAAATGAATCAAATAGATAATATGCCAACAGTTAATATTTCAAACTCATGCCCTATTTTAAATTTATTTTGTATTTAAGCCAAGGCTTTTTTATACAGATTTAAGCCAAGATTTTCAAATGCAATTTTGGCCACTTTGGAAAAAAATACTCCTTCACCATATCACAATTACCTTTTAACTTCTTATTAACCCTATGTATTCCTTATAATCCATTCATTTTATTTAACCCATTGACTTTTGCTCTAATTCTTGAGCTATTAATTCCTACATTTATTTTCTTTAGAGGCCAAAGTGAGTTCCACTCTTACTAACATCATCATTTTCATTTCTTCCACCCTTGTTTTGCTAGAATTCATGCAAGGATAAGTATGGGGTCAATTTTCTAATTACCTATCTGTTTGTAAAGAACTGTACTGATACTTTAGCCAGGCCTCACTTTATGGGCTTACAATCATCTGTCCCCATACTACCATAACACTGCCCCAATGTCTTCTAATGTAATCCAACATTGCTGTGGATGAAGGATTAATAAAATCCTTGTCCTCTTCTGTAGTTGATTAAATCTCCAGCTCTGTTCCCCTAGTGACCCAATAAAGGTAGCATGTAATTATAATATTAAGGCAACACTGCTTATAATAAAGGGATCTCCTGATTGATGAACTGTCTATAGACTTGAAAAACTATAATTATTTTACAGGAAGCCATAGCTTTGGGATTCCTGAGTGCAGTGACACATGACTAATGAGACATGTTTCTTGCGGGCACCCTGGAAAGTGTATGTTTCCAGAGATGATGGCTCCTGTAGAATATGAAAAATTTTAGCCCTGGGTAGTTCCTGCATAGGTCATCTCAACTCCCTGTACCTAAGCTTTACTGCTGCACAAACTGTTGCAAGGGCTCTCTCAGCAGAGGGATGCCTGAGGTTGCCCTGCTGTATTCAGGGCACAGGTACCAGATGAGACCTATGGGAGTCTTGTGAGTTGAAATGTTTACCTGAACCTAAAAACACCTCATGATGGGAACTGCAGTTACTAATCAGAAGTCTGATTCTCATCTAATTAGCCTTCCTTTGTAGATGACTTGATTTTCTTTAGTTTCACAATGATGTATCTAGGTTGGAGTTTTCTTCATCCTTCTTGGCAACTGGAGAACCCATTCGAACTGTAAAGATTCATGTCTCGCTTCAGACTGAGAAAATATTCATTTCTCAATTTCTTATCTTATATATTTTGTATCATTTCTTATATAATTTCTTCTCACCCCTTTTTGAAACTCCTATTAGTTACATATGTTAGTTGCTGAATTATTCTCTTTGACACTTGTATCTAATTCTCTGTTTTGGACTTTTTACTCTATTTTTAGGAGACCTCTTCAATTGTATATTATAGCCCTTAAATTAAAATTTTAATTTCAGCAATCATAATCTTCATTTCTAAAAACCATTTTCTTTTGTTCTAAATCCTTTTCTATAGCACTCTATCATTAATGCAGTTTCTTCACAAACCTGTGAAAATACAAATGCTGTTTATTTTTTACTGTTTTCTTGAATTTTTTTCATTTTTCCTACTAAAATTGATTATTCAGTTTCTATATTGTGGTCTTTCTCTTTTCATGCTGCTAGTTTTGGGTTTTGTTGATCCTTAAACTGTCTACTTACATATAAAAATGCAGTAATGGAGGACTTCTGGCCAAGATGGAGGCATAGGGTACACATATTGTGCCTCCTTGCACAACTAAAAAAAGGACAATAAATTTAAAAACAAAAAACAACCAGAACTGCCAGAAAATCAAACTGTATGGAAGTCTGACAACCAGGGAGTTGAAGAAGAAACATTCATCCAGACTAGTAGGAGGGGCAGAGATGGGCAGCCAGGCGGGGAGGACTCATGGCAAGGCAGCAGCTGGAGGACCTGGGTGGGCAAGGTGGCGGCTTGCAGACTGGGCATCCCACATTCGGTGCGGATAAACCAGGAGGAACAACCAGGGAGCGAGACAGACCTCGTGAACCCAGGGTCCCAGCATGGGGAAATAAAGCCTCAAAACCTCTGACTGAAAACACCTGTGGGGGTTGAGGTGGCAGCGGGAGAAACTCCCAGCCTCACAGGAGAGTTTGTTGGAGAGACCCACGGGGTCCTAGGATATACACAAGCCCACCCGCCCGGGAATCAGCATCAGAAGGGTCCAATTTGATTGTGGGAAGCAGGGAAGTGTCTGAAGACCAGCCGACAGCCAAGGAAGTGGCACTGTTCTCTCCCGAACCCCTCCCCCACATACAGCATCACAAGGCAGTGGCATGGGTTGCCTCGCCCTGGTGAACACCCAAGGCTCCGCCCTTACTACATAATAAGTGTGCTGAGACTTAAAAAAAAAAAAAAGGGGGCCAAATGAAAGAACACATCAAAGCTCCAGAAAAAATACAACTAAGCGATGAGGAGATAGTCAACCTATCAGATACACAGTTCAAAACACTGGTTATCAGGATGCTCCAGGAACTTACTGGGTACTTCAACATCATAAAAAAGACCCAGGCAGCAATGAAGGTTACATGATGTGAAATAAAGAAAAATCTATAGGGAACCAACAGCGACGGGAAGGAAACCAGGACTCAAATCAACAGTTTGAAGCAGAAGGAAGAAAAAAACTTTCCACCAGAACAGAACGAAGAAACAATTTTAAAAAATGAGGAGAGGCTTAGGAACCTCCAGGACATCTTTAAATGTTCCAACATCCGAATCACAGGGGTGCCAGAAGGAGAAAAGGAAGAGCAACATATTGAAAACTTATTTGAAAAAATAATGAAGGAGAACTTCCCCAATCTGGCAAAGGAAATAGACTTCCAAAAAGTCCAGGAAGCTCAGAGAGTCCCAAAAAAGTTGGACCCTAGGAGGTACACACAAAGGCACATCATAATTACATTACCCAAGATTAAAGATAAGGAGAGAATCTTAAAAGCAGCTAGACAAAAGGAGACAGTTACCTACAAAGGAGTTCCCATTAGACTGTCAGCTGATTTCTCAAAAGAAACCTTACAGGCAAGAAGGGGCTGGAAAGAAGTATCCAAAGTCATGAAAGGCAAGGACCTACATCGAAGATTACTCCATCCAGCAAAGCTATCATTTAGAATAGAAAGGCAGATAAAGTGGTTCCCAGATAAGGTCAAGTTAAAGGAGTTCATCATCACCAAGCCTTATTATATGAAATGTTAAAGGGACTTATATAAGAAGATGATCAAAAATATGAACAATAAAATGACAACAAACTCACAGCTATTAACAACCGAAACCCCCCCAAAACAAAAACAAACTAAGCAAACAAGAACAGGAATAAAATCATAGAAATGGAGATCACATGGAAGATTATCAGTGGGGGAGTGGAAGCAAAAGGAGGGGAAGGTACAGAGAATAAGTAGCATAAATGGTACGTAGAAAACAGAAAGGGGGAGGGTAAGAATGGTATAGGAAATGTAGAAGACAAAGAACTTATATGTACAACCCATGGACATGAACTAAAGAGAGGGAATGAAGGTGGGACGGGGTGGTGTGCAATGGGGAGAGGAATAAAGGGGGAAAAATGGATGACTGTAATAGCATAATCAATAAAATATATGTAAAAAAATGCAGTAATGGGTTGATAATACCAGACATCTAGTATGGGTTTTCTCCACTGTCATATACGTTGTTTTTAATTTTCCTAGAGTTTGTTTCAATATATGAATTCTGAACTATTTTAGTAGAGATATTATACCCTATGTATTCACATAAAACCTTCACAATGGAATATAAGCTATGCCTATCAGAGAAATAAACACAACAAGAGACTTCCATTTATTTAAAAAATCAAACAAACATTAGAACTTACCTCACACTAATAGTAAACATTTCCAGGATATCTTTTCCTAGTAGCCAGCCAACCAACATGATGATACCTGGAACAGAATCGAACAGCTATTTTTATTTTTTACATAAAATGACTTAGGCATAGAAGTGAGAGAATAACATGCTAAGGGGCAGCAATATTCCTTAATATTGAAGGGAAAGTGTATCAGGAAATGATTACAAGAGTTTGTGAAAATCCATTACACAGGAGAGATTCAAGTTAATGCTGGGATGCGCTCATGTGCACACATACATACACACACACTTTACCTTTTGCTGCCATTGCTGCCACCCATCCCTTCAAACAGTATCTGAGAGCTCCCAGTATGAGAAAACAACACCAGTACTTTCATACAATAGGGAGAAAAAAGGTCACATAAGACATATAGGTCCTACTTTTATTTCAGCTTTGCAAAAATAAACCCTGGAACTTTACTTCTCATAACTCAATATCCAGACATTACACATTAGGTTTGTACTACAAACAATGAAGTACTTAGGACTTGGCTCAAAGAGGGATCGATTTTACCTAAGATCTAGATAACTGCATTAATATTTAAAAATTACTACTTTTATGGCATTTAAAAATAAAAAAAGCCAACATAAATGAAACTGATTCTATATTCTCTGCTTTAACCTTTGTCTTTGAAAGCAAGGGTGCACGGGGTACAGTACTGGTTTTATGAGGAAAAAACAATATAATCAGAGTTTTAATAAAGCAACTTTAAGATTGTATTCTAGATCAATATAAACATTTAAACAAGTTTCTTCATCTTTCTGTAACTACAAAACAATGATATAGATCATGACCTTCTAAGATCCTATCCCAAATACTTTCCTAACAAAAGAAATTATATCCAATGAATTAATACCATGGGTCAGCAAACTACAATGTATGGGACTCCTGCATGTTTTTTAGATATAAGGTTTATTGACACAGCCACACCCATTTGTTTTGTATTGTCCATGGTTGCTTTCGTGCTGATGGCAGAGTTGAGTATTTCCAACATGGACTCTATGGACCTAAGGCTAAAATATTTACTATCTGCCCCTTTTCCAAGAGAAGTCTACTAATCCCTGATTTTGATCTTGACCCTTACCCTAATTCCATGTACTATCTTAAAGAGAAAAATATCTAATGCATTGTATTAAAACCAAGTAATCATAAAGTTAAAAAGATTTTTATCCCTAAGTTTGAAGTGGATTCATGATACCACATTAATATAAACTGGAAGATTTAATTAGCTAAATGCTTTTCAATTTATGGAATTCACTATAAATCTGTTTTTAAATTTTTTTTTAATTCACTATAAATCTTAAATAATCAGTAGCAATAATCAAATGAAGGAAGCTCTGAGAACATAAGCAGTTAAGCAAAAGGAACGAAATATCTTCCTACTCTATGTTTATGATAAAGACAGACAGAATAAAATTAATATTCATATTTAAGAAATTCGCTGAATTTGTACAGTGGAAATGCTGCTTTAAAAATTCATTATTAATTTAAAACATTAGCCCTGGCTGGCATAGCTCAGTGGATTGAGCGCGGGCTGTGAACCAAAGTGTCGCAGGTTTAATTCCCAGCCAGGGTACATGCCTGGGTTGCAAGCTATAACCCCCCAGCAGCCACACATTGATGTTTCTCTCTCTCTCTCTATCTCCCTCCCTTCCCTCTCTAAAAATAAATAAATTTAAAAAAAAACAAACAAAAAAAACATTAAGCTAGCAAAAATAATTAAAATAATTATCATGAAAGAATTAAAGGACAAATTCCAAAACTGATACAACTGCTTAATAGATTGGCAGGTCACAAAAGTGGACCAACACATATTTAACAAAGTGTTCAGTTACTCTAATAATGAATTCTGAAATAAAATAATGAGAAGTCTTTTATTCACCTGCTAAGTTAATGATAACACTGGAAATACCAGGGGAACACTTTGTAAAGTATATGATTGTCTAACCACTATGCTATACACTTGAAACTAATATAAAATATTATTAATGTAAACTGTAATTTTAAAATGTTAAAAAAGAATGAACATCTAAAATTTAAAAAATTAATAACAAAGGTGGCAAGGGTGCTAGGAAAGAGACACTTTTCCCCTGCTGATGAAGAGTAATATTTGGCAATATAAAACAAAAGCCTTTAAAAACATGCCAAAAATTTAAAAATTCCATGGATACTATTTGGCCCAATAACTTTACTTTTAAGAATTTATCCTAACAAAATGAGAGGTGTTTACAATAAATACCTGCACTAAAGAATCACTGACATTATTAAAACTCAAAAAACCTGAAGAAATGTCTATGAGAAGTCTGATGTATGTTTTAGATGAGCGTCTATTTAATGACAACACGTTTGTGACAGGATATGTGAAATAAAAAAGAAAAGCAGTCCATAAAACAATATAATCACATTTTGTTGAAGACAAAAAATACCATGTATATAGAGAGGCCCTTTAATTATAGGAATTAAACAGAGTTCTGACTTATCTTTGTAGGAAAGGACAATAGCTGAGGGTTAGTTTTCTAACTTTAAAAAAAGCAGTAATAAAGCTAAAATTGAGTTCATTAATTAAATGAATAAATTTATGTATGTATGCATGTATGTGTGCATCTAAATTCCCTCCTCCTTTACTCAAAACCAACCAACCAAAAACACAATCTAAGTAAATATATGAGATATACATACTCACTCTTCTCTTACCTATTATACCAAAGGAGTAAAAGGAAAGTTGTTTTCCTAAGAGGTCCATGCTCTTCTGCAGAGGGGTTTTTGGTGCCTTGACAAATTAGAAAAGAGTGTCACCACAATGAACTAAATTCAGTAAGATATACTAGGTGCCAGGGACTATGCTAAGTGCTTGACAGACCCATGCCGGTGCTTAACGTATCCATGGCACACACAGCTCTCCGTTAGGGTACATATTAGCCCCTTCACTGAGGAAACTGAGGCTTACACTTTAAAAAATCTGTTTATGTGAAAAGGTTCATGCTTTCTATGCCATGCTTTGAGGAAAAATCTGTTCTTCCAATCAATTTCTCCAAGACTTAATTACCATCAGCTGCCCCTCGCTTTTCTCATCTTTCTCCTTTCAGTATCTACAAACAGGCATGTAACCCAAGTCTTTTTATCCTGTTGGCTCTCTGGTCTGCTAACTTCCCTAGTGGTCTCTTCACTGGCAAGCTTCTTAGAATGGTTTATACACTGCATGATGTACACTGAGTTTGGCAGGTCATCTGAGAATCCAGAAGAGTTAGGGGAAATATGATATTTATAGAATGCAACTTCTTTTTTTTATATATAAGGAAATATCTTAAATGAGAAAATAATCCTCAAAAATCCTTAAACAAGAATATCTTCTAGATTATTTTACTTTGTAATTTTTTTCCCATTACTTGGAATTATACAAAGTTGGGAATTTTGACAGAAAACATGTTCTGAGAAACAAGTATACTATTTAATAATCTTTAAAAGTAACATAATAAAGCTAATATTTCTAAAAGAATTAGCCCTATAAATAAGCTATAAATGTTTGTATCTCATAAAAAATGAGTAAGTATCAAAATGTTTTAGAATATTAGCAATGCCAATTCAAGCCCTTCCAATTACAGGCTTTCCAATGTTTTTAAGCATAGACAACTGAATGATATTCTGAAAAATTTTACTGTCAATAGTACATAATCTACCAATATTCTCTTTTACTCTACCACGAGAATGTCAGATTTGAAATTAATGCATCATTAACAAAGTACTCACTTCTTCTGCTTGCATCATCTTAAAAACCTCTCCAAATTCAGAATTTTCTCCTGTTCCAATGACAATACCCTAAAAGGAAAAACAGGAAAATACATTTATAATCAGATGGAATCAACCTTCTCAATGAAAAAAACAAAACTCTGTCCTGGCTGGTGTGGCTCCAAGGATTGAGTGCTGGCCTGCAAACTGAAAGGTCACCAATTTGATTCCTCATCAGGGCATATGCCTGGGTTGCAGGTCAGGTCCCCAGCTGGGGGTGAGCAAGAGGCAACCAAACAACTGATGTTTCTCTCATACACAGGTATCCCTCTCCCTCTTTCTGCCTCCCCTCTCTCTAAAAATAAATAATATTTTTTTAAAAAGAATAAAAGAAAACGCTATCAAAAAAAGGAAAAAAAACAAAACTCTTCATTCCATTTCTCCAGAGCCTTGCCTACAACTAAGTTATCTGACATACTTTTATCTAAGTTTTACTTACTAAAGTTACACTTTTTTCCCCTTTCAAAATATGGAACGCTTCACAAATGTGCATGTTATCCTTCCAGAGGGTCCATACTAATCTTCTCTGTATCATTCCAATTTTTATTATACAAGCATGTGCCGCCAAAGCAAGCACAAATTTACACTTCGTTGTTATTAAAAATCATTAGTATTTACATCTTGTGATACAAACCTTAAAAACAAACATTTCATTGAATTTACTTTTGACTCAATTTGGAAGCCCATCTTTTGTTTACATGAATATTTCTGAAATTTGAATCTTATACTCATTAGAGACATTTAATGTAGAATATCTTTGTCCCCAAAATACTACTGACTGCTGCCTTTTATATATGTGAAATATTAGAATGCAGAAACAAAATATTTGTGATCACACATGAATGATATATATAGTCAGAATATGATAGCCAGAACCATATTATTAAGTTCAAACTTAGTAATGAACATGTTCATAAGTCACTGTTTCTATCAAAAAAAAAAAAATGAAAGAAACAGGTATTGAGAATTATGCCTTTAAAGGATCCATTATCCGGTAAATGGCAGAACTGTGGACAAATATCCCTTAGAGAAATAGCTTCTCATCAGCTTTACAAATAGCTGCCAAGGATTAAGTCTACATAAAATTAGTAAAAAAGGACTGAGAAAATGGTTGAAAACAAAGGAACTGCTATTTTTGGAACAAGAAAAAAAAATACCTTTGCTTTGCCACATCTGACCAGTGTTCCCATGAAGGCAATGTTACTTCTTGATGCAAGATCTCCATTAGTTGCAGCCAGTTGAGGGGCTGTCACCTTGGAACAAGGTGTTGTTTCTCCTGTCAAGCTGGACTCATCAATGGAAAGATCCACAGCCTTGGGGAACATAAAGCATTCTGTGACATTCAAATATGAAGACTCTCTGTGCTACATTTAACATCTACCAAGTTTGTAACCATCACTTCTTCCTTAAATATCCCTTTTCTATTAATTAACGTAATCTTTTATCATATCCATTACTCTGAAACAGAAGACCAGAGTAAGTACAACCATATTTAAAAAAGAAGTTAAATCAACAAAATCTGACATGCAAAGTAGAATGCTGTACCATGAGACAAGACTACCCTAAATATGAAAATACAACTAGAGAAGAGGAGACCCTAATTGAGACTTAATTTTGTATACAGAAAACTCAACTCTCCCAATAAAATACTATTTCCTAATTTTGCCATCCCCTAAAGTTCTAAAAATGTGTTTTGCACACTAAAACCAACCATAAGGGAAAGAGAAATACAAATAAAAGGTATACAAGGTACTGAGAAAGAAATCATTACATCATTTGGGGCTCAATTTTCATAGAGTTCTTCCTGTTATATATCCCTATATTGATCCCAAAGGTACATTAGTAAGAATCCAAAATGTATATAAACGTCATAAACTTTAAATACATAAATGTATATGTAATTCCATGAAGACTATGAATATTGTATTATCTTCCAACTCTGCAACAGAGTTTAAATTCTGACAGTTTCACCCCTAATACAATTAAGTATTCACCTACCCAAGCAAGCAAAAAAAAAAAAATCACCATTTTATGTGGAAAACAATGCAGATGTGACCTGGCCCTGTTTCTCAAAATACGGCCAAGAAAATAAGAGATACAAGTATGTTAATAGACATATGTAATGTGATACATGATTGATAGACAGGTTATTTACAAGCCCTCTAGCTAACTTTGATACACATTCCAGTTTGAGAATCAATCAAATAATGTTTCCCAAACATCTTTGATCCACTTTATTTCAGAATCTCTTATTCAAGGGTCCTTGCGACACTCTTTGGAAAACTAAGACCTAGCTCATGAGTTTACTCATTTTATAGGTTCACTCACTCACCCAATGAACATTAACTGACTACCCTAACTATGGACCAAGCCCTGGGCTAGATCATGGAAAGGAAACAAGGAAATGAACCTGGAGCAATTCAATGACTGTGCAGTCTCACTCTCAATCAGGCCTCTTGACTGACAGTTCATACTACATACAAAGTACTCTCAACTTTAAATCCTGTTTTTCTTTTTCTTTTTTGGTGGGGTAGGGGAAAGAGAATCTCATCTTTTTAAATGGCTCATTTTTCATTAGCATAAGTACCTTAAAACTCTCATAGAAAATAATTATTTAAATTGGTTCACGGAGTCTTTCTCTCCATCTATATAATAACTATGTTTTAATTTGATCGATGCTAATGATTTCACTTAACAAATATTTACTAATGCTTATAATGAGCCAGACCCCTGTACTCTTATTTCACACAGTAGGAAACAGCAGTAAAGAAAACAAAGTTCATGCCCTCACCTATTCTTCTAATGAAAAAAATGACTTGAAAAATAAACAAACAAGAGTATATACTACAATGCCTGGCAGTGGGGGAAAACAACAAGATAAGGATGAAGAGTGACATTCTAGATAGAAGAGACAATATCTCTCAAAAGTACATATCCCTTTTGCAGAGTCCTGATCTACTTTAGGGCCCCAAGGCTGGGCCATAATTAAGGAAAAAAGGATTCTAGACAAAGGGAGCAAAGAAGATGGGGGCAGGAACGTGCTTGGTGTGTTCTTGTGCTAGGCAGATATATAACTTTGCAAATATAATTAATAATTTACATTAGATCGTAAAATTTTTAAATGTTCAGAATGAAAATAAATTATATAACTCCAAAAAGAGCAAATTGTACTAACATTTCCTTAAAGTTTAGTACCATGCGAATGTGATGGATTTTAGTATCAAAACAGGCTTATAAAAAGTATACCTTAAAACACAAATCAATAGTCCTTTACTCTTTAAAAGGCTTCCCATTTTATATAATTAGGTATGCAAAGATGAGCCAGGTACACTTGGGTTCATCACTTCAACACAGCTACAAATTAAACAGAAAAACAGCTGCCGTGTTCAAAGGCAATGGAATTTTTCTTTACTAAAGAAACATTTATTTGACTTCTCTTTCCAAATTAGTCTTAGGACTGTGTAACTTGACACACTGACACATTTATTACCAAAATAAGGGGGGAACATTAGGTCTTTCTTAAAAGATGATTCTAGTACTAAAAACAATCATCTGATGGCTCATCACTTACTACCTGGTAGGTATTATGCTACATTCCTATGCTAAGTTTTCCACTAACAATTACTTAGCTACTGACAACTCCAATAAGGCAAGTACTATCATTATTATCCCTATTTTACAGACACTTTAAAAGGTTAAGCAACTCAACATCATAGTAAGCTATGGAGATGAAACTCAAATGTTGACAAATTAAGTCCAGTTCATCTCAATTACTTAGCAGATCAATTTGGAAATTATTTCTCCTCCCCAGTTTTGTAATTACTTGTAAGAGAAGTAGTTAAGCGAAGATACATTTTTGCCAATTACAAAAGCCAACAAAGCTTATTTAATTAGCAATCTCCTCTTTAATGCTTTTTATAAAAATCAGAACTGCATGTTAATATTCTGAGCTCGTAATTAGAAAAGAGACCGGCTAATATTTAAAAGCAAACAAAACTTGTATACATCTACAGAATTCCTTCTCTGAGAAAGGTAAAATTTATCCTTTCTCACTGAAGACTTTCTACTTTAAATGTAATCTTAAATATGAATAAATACTAACATTAGGTGGTTGTCTAAAGGGACAAAGAGTATAAAAATAATCTGACTTATTAAAAAGAGGAAATGCATGCCTTCATTGTCTCTGTCAGTTACCCAGCTCACCAGTGTCAGCCTTGCAGCATAAGAACCATTTAAGAGAGTAAGAATTTTTGTTCAGATCAGATTTTTCTGCAGAAAAAAAGGTATATTTTTAGCAAAAAAGCATTCAGTCTTATGTGGTGTACAAATTGATAGGGAGGAAAAAGAGGCTTTGGATCCTTATCTTTTTTCCATACAATTACAAATTCATAAAACTCAAATTATCAAGAATATATTATCAAAACAATCTGTCTAAATCATACAATCAATGTAGCAAACTACATAGATATCAACAGCCTACTGAACAAGAATATTATTCTAAGTTACAAGTTATTCTCTTATGATGATTGCAAGAGTTTTCATAGGAAGCAGCTTTGAGGAAGTAAGGTAAAGGAAGACATTTCAAAGAATAGTATTTAATAAATTAGGCAGCCTATTACAGTTTAACAAGTTCACAATTTAATCTGAGATGATATTACAGTCATTTATTCACCACATTCATGAGAGAAAGGTAGGATAAAATGAAATAAAAAACTAGCCAGCTTCATACCTTCCAGCCAAAAGTTTAAACACTAAACCTTCAGAAGAGCTGTTAATGAATAGGAAAACTGATAATGTTTCACTTTCTCTTCATTTTTCCTCAAGCATCTTTGTGTGAATAAGATATTGAGTTGGCCAAAAAGTTTGTTTGGTTTTTTCCATAAGAAGGCCCTGGTATTGCTTAGTTGTCTTCACTAGAAACAATTTTGTTGGATTGTATTGTGACAGCTGTCATATCAGCATGCATTTAAAAAATAATAAAAACTTGTGAACTTTTGTGTAGCCATTTTAATATTGAAGATAGAAGAAAATACAGAACATCTACAGTATATTATGCTTTATTATTTCAAGAAAGGTAAATACATAACTGAAATGCAAAAAAAGATTTGTGCAGTGTATGGAGAAGGTACTATAACTGATCAAACGTGTCAAAAGTGATTTGCAAAGTTTCATGCTGGAGATTTCTCGCTGGACAATGCATTCTCCACAGTCCAGTAGATCAGCTGAAGTTGACAGAAATCAAATTGAGAACAATCAAGGTTACATCACATGGGAGACAGCTGACATACTCAAAATATCCAAATCAATAAAGCTACTGGTGAAAATGAAAAATGTATCTTTTATTTTAAGGAAAAAACTAAATGAACTTTTTGGCCAACCCAAGACAATGCAGTTTAAAAGTCAGAATATAAATAAGAATCTAGATGTATATGTAATCTACAATCTGAATATTTAATACCCACAGAATAAAAACGGTTGAAAAAATTCAGAGAATTATTCCTATAAAAATTAGGCAGAAAGTGAATGTCCAAGTCACAAATATTTCCTAAAAAACAAAAGTGGCTAATTTTAACTGTAGTTAACATGGAACAATTCACTGCTACAAATAAGTTCTCAAACTAAAGAACATCTTGGTATACTGTATGCTGCAAGTCAATCACCTCTCTACTCTAGAATTAAAAATAAATCCCAAAAAACTTCCCTCAGAAAACAACCTTCCAAAATATTTATCTCCAGCTGACTAATTATGATAAAATTTCTTACTTCTGCCCTCAAAAATAAGATTCCTCATATTTATTTAAATGAACAAATAGGCAATTAAGAATTATTCATGAGCTCTAGCTTATTAACAATCAAAGCCAACCAAATGCTACAAATTACTGAAAAGGCTACATGAAAGGAATTTCATCCCATGATAAATGCTTGCATGAATTACTAACTTTCTGACTTAAGTAAACAGATTCAAGTTAATCAGGTCACCAGTAATTCAAAGGCCAGAACTCAGTTATCAATGATTTCTAAGATATTTCACTAAGACTATTAAAAGAAACCAAATTTCAAAATAGGATTTATTTTTGTAACAGTTCTTTTCTACCAACATGAAATGAGACTCTCAAAACAAAGAGGCTAATTAAGTTTTACTTCTAACCCTCCCATACTGTCTTTTTAAATTCAAGTGAGTTAATGAGAAAAGTTTTTTCTTCAGCATTTTAAACATGAATAAATAGCATTCTGCAGCTCACAGTGCTTTTAACCACTGAAATATAAAAATCAGACGACAAAACACTAAGTACAGCTCAAGATCATACTATGT